CACACACTCACTCACTCACTCACTCTCACGCACACACTCACTCACTCACTCACTCTCACGCACACACTCACTCACTCACTCACTCTCACGCACACACTCACTCACTCACTCACTCTCACGCACACACTCACTCACACTCACTCTCACGCACACACACTCACTCACTCACTCACTCTCACGCACACACTCACTCACTCACTCACTCTCACGCACACACTCTCTCACGCACACACTCGTGTGTGTGTGATTTTTACAGTGGGGTCACATGTTGGCTTATACATGCTACCTCTCTCCATCTGTTCAGCAGTGATGTTGTAACATTTAGGTGATAGTTTAGAGTAAATGTTACATATAAACGTAAACGAGACATTTGCTGATTCACATGACAAATTTAACGTGCATTAACCTCATCACAAATCACATTATATCCCAATTAAACCTGTTTTTTCTTTCCTTTAAATCCTGTATACATACAGAATTGTAAGAACTTTCTACCCAGCTATTTAACTATATCAAGAAGACCAGCTCCAGCCCTAACCAAACATCTGAACCAGCAAATCAAGGTCATCAGGTTTACTAAATAATGAGTTTGATCTCAAAACTAAACGGAGCATTTTAGACTGGAACACTGGATTGACCAATCATCCACCAGGACCAGAACTGCTCAATCTGTCCTGTAACCCACTGAGCCTCTCAACCTTGCTCTACATTCAACTCATGCAGTAACCTTTGTTCTCACGAGATAACAGCCAAACTCTGGCCAAAGCTCCCGGCGATATCAATGAACATCATGTAATGGAGTGAGTGCGAGTGTGTGTCCTGTAGCCTCTGATATCAGGGGTTTCCACTGCTCACCTGCCAGATACCGAGTCTGATATGCTGACATATCTCCTCTGATGTCGGTCAACAGTTATGAAGATTACGTGAGTGCATTCAAAGCATTTCAGCAGTGAAAAGTGCGAATGATCTGCAGATTCCCTCAGCACTGTATCACACCGCTTTGCAGTCGCCTCTTCATTTTCCATGTGCAAAACATTTATCAGCAATGCAAGATAGACAGAAGTCATGTACAGCTAGGATGGGGCTCGAGGGTGAGCATCCCTTTAATGCACGTGTTGCTTTACATGCCAAACAACATGCTGCTAACCCTACTGTAAGTGATTTCTTCACTCCATCCATTAACTCTCTCCCCGCCAGTGGTTCTGATCACTTTCACAAAACTTTCACGGCCCTTTGAATATTTTGTTGTATGAATATCTTAACATGTATATAGCAAAACAAACAACAGCCTCTGCTTTTAAACAAAACTCTTTTATTCTACCTTCATGCAATGAATGTGGGTGAGTTTCATTAAAAAAGCTGAATTTTGAACAAAAAGCTGAGAAAATGGTGTTTTTGTAAAAGTCTATGTCTGGATCAGATTCAGAACGATAATCAAAACATAGATGGAGTCGATCGCTTCATCAACACATCCAAAGCTTCACAGTCCTAAACCTTGTTACATATGCTTCTGCTTGCATTGTAAGCATTACGTTGTGCATTGTTTCTTCTTCTTCCCTGTGTTTCGATCCAGAGATTCAGTGCTCTTTCTGACGACGAGTAATAGCGCCTCCTATCGTGTGACAGTGAAAACCAGAAAATTCTGTCAAATCTGTCAGAGTTAATATGAGCTCATTGTTATTGTTTTGAATTATTCCTGGAGACATCCGCTCCAGAAACAGACTAAATAGGGCCGGTTCTTGTCTTCCTCTCCAGGTTCAATCAGTGCTATGGAGTGCTGGGAGTTCTGGACAGACTTCACGGGACGGACGAGAAGTTTCGTAATGCTAAAGCGTACGAGCGGCACATGGTCCTGCTGGGTTTGACCCCGCTGAGCGAGAGCATCCCTGACCATCCCAAGAAAGCGCAAGATTAACCGCGCTGGGTCTATACGCTCACTGAACAGAATCACAGCCCGTTAGAGGAGTATGCATCAACACTACATCAGCTGTGATGGATCTGGAGTCACACACATTCCTGCGTGTAACGTCACAGTATTCAGCTCGAGGTGATTGTACTGCTGAAGCTTCACTGGTCATTCTGCAGAGTTCTGGACTCATGCAAAGAGACCCTGATTATGAGATCAGTCCTTTTTATTGTTGATCCTGTCACTTTGCGTCAGAATAGCATTGTATTCACGGATGATGAAAATGATTTTAATACTTGTGATAAATGCTATATTTTAATACTGAAATCTAGTAATGGTGTTTGGAAATAAACGTGTTCTGTCCCTCATGATTTGTGACATCAGTTTCTGGAGTTTATCACAAACTTCACTCATTAAAGCTGATCTGCTGTACTGTGTTTGCATTATTAATAATTCTGATGCATGTCTCAAACTCATAGTTATAAAAAAAATAATTCTGATGCACAGGGTAAAATAATGACTCTTTAATTTTGCATCTGGAACAAGAGTATGTAAGAAATCCATGACCGTGTATTATATGGTCCCAGACCCCCGTGAGGCCCAGGAAACACAATCTTGGGATTCCCTGGTTTCACTGAAACTAGAAAAGAAACCTAACACCAATTTCTTGTCAAAATATTGTGATGACACAAAACGACATTGTAATTTTTTCTCTGTTTCATTAGTAATCCAAACTGGGTTTTTTTTTTTGTCTAAAATGTCTCTTCACGTTTAGGGTTTAAACCTGTTCTGTACGTGAACAAAAGTATGGTGATATACTCAGAATTTGTGCTCTGCATTTAACTCCTCCAAGTGCACACACACACACACACACACACACACACAGAGATCTGGAAACCAGTACCGTAAGCAAGCAGATCCATGAATGATTCTGAGTGTCGATACGCTCAAATTAAAAAGAGCACTCCGAAATAGTTATTGGGCTGGAGAAAATTCTTATCGACATATATGCACCTGCAGAAACGGATCATCGTCCATTAACTGCGATAATGAAGAATACAGTGTTTAATGATGAAACCGCATCTGATATGTAGACCTGACAAATACACTGTGACAGAAGATGATGCTGATGATGTCCTCTGGTTGCTCTTTGGCACAGTAAGCAGCTAATGTAGTACAATCTATACACAATACATGTATCAATCTATACATTTTAGTGTCAACAATAAGCACCGTTTTTGAAGAGTGCGCATTTGCATAAATTCATCAGGGAAACCCAGAGTATAGGTGTGTCCCAAATCGCCTACTTATGCACTATTCTAGTATAGCTAGTGCGAGTAGTGTGTTCACACTGAAAATCCCAAAAAGAAAAAGTGCACTTGAAATACCCGGATGATGCACTTAATTAACCGAAAAAACGAAGTGTGGAATGTTGGACACTTCATGCACTCGACTGTCACAGCTTTAATTACGTAGTGAAGGGGGAGGTTAAGTGCATAGTGTATTAGTGCATAGTGTATGTGTATAGTGCATAAGTATAGTGCATAGTGTATAAGTGCATAGTGTATGTGTATAGTGCATAAGTATAGTGCATAGTGTATAAGTGCATAGTGTATGTGTATAGTATGTGTATAGTGCATAATTGCATAGTGTATTAGTGTATAGTGCAGTGTATAGTGTATGTGTATAGTGCATAAGTGCATAGTGTATTAGTGTATAGTGCAGTGTATAGTGTATGTGTATAGTGCATAATTGCATAGTGTATTAGTGTATAGTGCAGTGTATAGTGTATGTGTATAGTGCATAAGTGCATAGTGTATTAGTGTATAGTGCAGTGTATAGTGTATGTGTATAGTGCATAATTGCATAGTGTATTAGTGTATAGTGCATAATTTATTAGTGTATAGTGCAGTGTATAGTGTATGTGTATAGTGCATAATTGCATAGTGTATTAGTGTATAGTGCATAATTTATTAGTGTATAGTGCAGTGTATAGTGTATGTGTATAGTGCATAATTGCATAGTGTATTAGTGTATAGTGCATAATTTATTAGTGTATAGTGCAGTGTATAGTGTATGTGTATAGTGCATAATTGCATAGTGTATTAGTGTATAGTGCATAGTGTATTAGTGTATAGTGCAGTGTATAGTGTATGTGTATAGTGCATAATTGCATAGTGTATTAGTGTATAGTGCATAATTTATTAGTGTATAGTGCAGTGTATAGTGTATGTGTATAGTGCATAATTGCATAGTGTATTAGTGTATAGTGCATAATTTATTAGTGTATAGTGCAGTGTATAGTGTATGTGTATAGTGCATAATTGCATAGTGTATTAGTGTATAGTGCATAATTTATTAGTGTATAGTGCAGTGTATAGTGTATGTGTATAGTGCATAATTGCATAGTGTATTAGTGTATAGTGCATAATTTATTAGTGTATAGTGCAGTGTATAGTGTATGTGTATAGTGCATAATTGCATAGTGTATTAGTGTATAGTGCAGTGTATAGTGTATGTGTATAGTGCATAATTGCATAGTGTATTAGTGTATAGTGCAGTGTATAGTGTATAATTGCAGTGTATTAGTGTATAGTGCAGTGCATAGTGTATAAGTGCATAGTGCAGTGTATAGTGCATAGTGTATAAGTGCAGTGCATAGTGTATAAGTGCATAGTGTATGTGTATAGTGCATAAGTATAGTGTATAAGTGCAGTGTATAAGTGTATAGTGCATAGTGTATGTGTATAGTGCATAGTGTATAGTGCATAAGTATAGTGTATAAGTGCATAGTGTATAAGTGCAGTGTATAAGTGTATAGTGCATAGTGTATGTGTATAGTGCATAAGTATAGTGCATATTGTATAAGTGCAGTGTATAGTGTATAAGTGCATAGTGTATGTGTATAGTGCATAAGTATAGTGTATAAGTGCAGTGTATAAGTGTATAGTGCATAGTGTATGTGTATAGTGCATAGTGTATAAGTGCAGTGTATAGTGTATAAGTGCATAGTGTATGTGTATAGTGCATAAGTAGTGTATAGTGCAGTGTATAGTGCATAGTGTATAAGTGCATAGTGCAGTGTATAGTGCATAGTGTATAAGTGCAGTGTATAAGTGCATAGTGTATTAGTGTATAGTGCAGTGTATAGTGTATGTGTATAGTGCATAATTGCATAGTGTATTAGTGTATAGTGCATAATTTATTAGTGTATAGTGCAGTGTATAGTGTATAATTGCAGTGTATTAGTGTATAGTGCAGTGCATAGTGTATAAGTGCAGTGTATAGTGTATAAGTGCATTAGTATATAGTGCAGTGTATAGTGTATGTGTATAGTGCATAATTGCATAGTGTGTTAGTGTATAGTGCAGTGTATAGTGTATGTGTATAGTGCATAATTGCATAGTGTATTAGTGTATAGTGCAGTGTATAGTGTATGTGTATAGTGCATAATTGCATAGTGTATTAGTGTATAGTGCATAATTTATTAGTGTATAGTGCAGTGCATAGTGTATAAGTGCATAGTGTATAAATGCATAATTGCATAGTGTATAGTGTGACATTTGGGACGCAGCTTATGACACAAGTGTGAACCTGTGATGAATCAAACGTCAAATAAAGCTAAATGACAGGGAACAAAAAACAGGGAAGTAGTCATCAGGTGCATGTTCACTACACGGATTTCTCGAATCGATTAGTGTAAGTTTTCACTCCACCACTTGCACGTGACGTCATTAACGACAGTCCTATAGACCTTATGCGTCAGAGAAACAAGTGCGCAGCCATCTTCAGAATTTTGTCTTTCCACTTCCATTTTTGCAGTAGAGCATCGCTGTTGAAGAGTAATTAGCTGGTTAAGTGGATGTGCGAGCATGTTAGTAGTTTTGGGAAACAGGGAGTTGCTTGTTGTACAGGAAACGCACCGCTGGACAGTTTAGGTCAGGGCTCTCCAACCCTGCTCCTGTAGAGCTCCAGCATGATCAAATTACCCTGAACACCTGGATTAGCTGATTCACGGGTGTTAAATAAGGAAGACCAGAGCAGTGGAGCCCCAGGACTGGAATAGAGAACCAGTGCTATGGAGAAAGGTGGTCAGGTGTGCAGAGTTAAAATCGCTCCTCACTGAGGAGATGCTCCTGAACACCTGAGCAAATAATCGATCCTCTCCAATCCACTCTCTCTGCTCAGACAGATGCTAAAGATCAACAGTTTAGTTAGGCTTTTTTTCTAGTGAGACAAAACTACTATGAAACTGGAAATCTGCAGGTAGCTCGTCTGGTTCATAGAAAAGTTCAACAGCTGCTTTAAAGGGTTTTTGACCTTTTTAATTTTTTTTTTTCCATTATTAAAGAGAAAATACTACAAATTACAAATCACACTAAAAGCAATCACATCTGCCTATAATTCAGATCAAGTGTTATGATACAAGATTTCAAGTATTTTACAAATCGCATTGTTCTTCTCTCAATAAGCCGAATATATATGTGCGTCAGGGTAATAAAGTATTGTTTCAATAAACGCAGACAGTTATTTCTATGGCTTGATGAATGATTTTGTCTGCTCCCCGACCTCTGAAGACGCACCAGCATGAATTCATACGGACGAGAGGCTTTTCCACAGCGTTTAGTTGAATAAAAGGTTTTTAATTACATCAGCGATCACAAGATTTTCCTCATCAGGATTTGACCACAGCTACTCTGAATGAAGAAGCCTCCTGAGGGAAAGCAGGAGAAGGGAACTGCTAAATGTGTCGAAATAAAATTTAAATCCGAATATTACCAGAGAGAGATGGATTGAAACCAAAACATCTGAGCAAACCAACTCCTTAAATTAGGTCAGCGACTGGAATATTGCTTATGATCCAAATGCAGTCAGCAAAGTTTTCAGATGCATCACTTATTAATCCTCAGAAGGTGTTTCTTCACATGATTCCAGTTGATACCCTGAGGTCAGTTTCCCTTTAGTCAGACCGTGCTGCTGTTTTTGCATGAAGAAAATCAAGAGGTGATACTAAAACATCCCCGAAATAATAGCGCAGAAACTCGGATGGGCATAAAAAAAGATGCACACGTAAGGCAAATATATCTCTATGAACAATAAATGACACGTACAGCCAGGTGGTGTAATGTCTCTTCATTTCTTGAATTCATATGTACACTAGGATTAACACTCTGGTAATGATTCCCATTCGGCCGGGACACACTCGCACTAGATCTGGGAAATCTGCCGGTGAACGAGGGACAGGTTAGCGGCGCCGGGTGTCTCCGATGTTTCCCGATGAGCTGAGGATTGACTGGTCTGTGAACTGACCGCAGGTGGCTGAAGCTAAAAGAGTCTTCTGTAACAGACTGTGACGCGCAGAAGAATACGAGAGGATCTGGCAAGCATCACAGTGAAGCCCAAGCTTACGGTGCAACCCCGGGTAACATACAATCATCTCGCTCAAACAACTGCAGATCTATAGCATCCGCATGATTTTCTGAGTACCTACTCTAGTCAAGAGCAACACAATCCTTACGCTCTACAAGAAAAAAGAACAAGATCAGGCGTCGTTCAGCCAAATAAAACAGTGAGGATATAAAGCAGAAAGATTCAACAAAAGCCTTTTTGTACCCCAGAGATACAAGAGGAATAAAACTTCAAAGTCTTTAATAAAACAAAGAATGGAAGAATTTCTCATGCCCTCTGCTGTCCGTTTGTGACGCACAGATGCTGTGAACAAGGAGGAGGAGGTGGAAGAGCCTTGATTTGACGATCGTGAGCTGTTGTGTCATGCTTGTGCGGTCAGTCTGACCCCTGATGGACGGGTCAGGCGCTCATTTGGGCGGCTTGGCGTCCTGCGCAGCTGCTCGTTGGCTCGGGGGTTTGGCATCATCTCTGGTGGGAGGAGCTCCAGCAGAAGGGGCGGAGCCTGAAGCGCCCTGTGTCTGGGTTCGGCTAGACTGCTGGGAAGGATGACGGCGACGGCCATCGCCGCTGGAAGGGTGTCTCTTACGCCCGCCGTCCTCCATGGGTGGCTAAAGGGCAGAAATAATGCAGCGTTAATAAAACACGTCTCACGATCCAGACACGAAACACCATTAACATTGGGATTGAGCTGTGCTTTCGAGTGAAACTGCACTGCAGTTGGCTCTGACACAAACAGCAGCTGGCCAGGGGTTGTTTTTAATCACTGAACCGTCTCTATGTGACATGGAGTGTTTTGTCAGCCAATATAACAGTGCATTATTACAACAGTGCAAATGTGCATTACACAAGAAGCCATGTTGATCTCAAGCCTGCAAACGGCAAATGAGAAATGCACTTGCACTCACATCCACCCTGAAGTCCTCCAGACGCTTGAACTTGCTTAAATGCTCCTGCAGCTTGGGGTCAATCTCCATGTTCTTTGTTTTAGAGTATTTCAGAAAGGCCCAAAACTTCTCGAGTCCATACAGCTGGCCTGTCAGGGCAAATGAAGGAGAATTACACAAGAGCTCCACTAACTAAACGTCATCTATTACAGGTTCATCTGCTGGCAGACTCAGACAGACCTGCTTCATAGTCTTTAATGGTCTCCTCTTGAAAGTCTTTAAATATGTCCGGTCTGAACTTCCTCTCTAGTCCATAGCTGTAAAACCTGAAGAGACACTCCAGACCGTACCTGAGGAACAGCACACAGCGCCGTCAGTTCAGAACACTTATTATAAAAAAATAAAAAGACCACACTAAAAATGCAATGCATGCGGACTATGACTGTCAAAAACGGTGGTAGGCAGAATTTAGAAAATATAAAAAAAATTATTCAAGCTTTTGATTATAAAAACAAATCTAGCTGCAGGCAGCGATTACTGGGGTTCAAGCACTTCAAGGCATTTAAGCACACACGAAAAAAGACATTACGTATTTAGCAATTAAATCAATGATTAAAAAGAGCATTTCTGGCAGTTCCAGGTCATTTACCATAGACATAGGATGTTTTTAAAGATTTATGGCTGTTATAGCGCCACCTATAGTGTGATTGGCATAAAAGTTGGTATGATCCTTTAGAATAATATGCAGCATGTGCTCACCTAATTTCGTGAAGTTCTGAGTTTTCGTTCAAGAATTTTAGAGTTTTGGATATATTTGGCCAAGCACATTTTCTAAATGACCCTGTCATAGCTATCCAAAGTGTAAAGTTCAACGTATTTTGATAATCATTGACCTAGAGAATCCAGAGAATTGTACTGCAGTGGTTTTGTTGGGGTTGAGCAAAAAACCTAGGACTAGTTCGCTAAAGTAGCTTTTTTTAAATAATCTTGAACAATTAACAAATGATTTGGCCCACCGAGATTCGTTCTGATCAGCCACGCTAACCCCGTCTAATAGGTGCTCAAACTTAATTTGCCATGTTTCTGGAGATACACGAATGTGCTCATAGAGAGCCATGGCACTTTCGACACAGACACTGCATGTGAATTGTCAAGTCGAGTCGGACTAACACGTGTAGTTATAGCCATTTTTAGGTTTTTGTCCTATTATAGCGCCACACAGAGGCCAGACCAGATAAAACAATATTCGTCTAGAGCGATTAAGTTGTGATCAAATTTATTTTCTATAAATTGCTCCTTGTAAACAGAAGTGTCGATTTCAATGGGAATTAAACTGCCACACAACCTTGTGCTCCGTATAAAAATAATAGGTAAATCTGGCCCGGATTTCTCTCAAAACGCCAACATTTTCAATTAAAATCACAGATTACCGCCTGTCAGCACTGAAACGACATTACGTTACTCGACAGAAAAACTGAGGCTTTTAAAAAAACCCTAAAGACGGTCAATAAACGCTGATTATTTTCATACCTGTAGCCTTCCTTCCCGTCCTCCACCACCAGCTGTCTGAATTCCTCGTACATCTTTCTGTTGAAGTGATCTCTCAAGAAGAAGGACCAGAAGCGGAAGAGCGTGTTCATCTCCTGAGACTGGCCGATGCCGAGCCGCTTGCGCTCTGCAGGAGCGACAGAGAGAAGTGAGCGCGAGGCTTTGAGGAGGAGACGCTCCAGCGGAGGAGTGTAACTCACCGTTGAGGCAGCGCCGCCGGTACTTGTGATAAACGTGCTGCGTGAATCCGTTCTCCTTCAGTAACTCGTGTGACGGATGCTGGAACTTGGGGAGAGACTGAGGAGTGCAGCCGTAATTACCCATCGCTGCGGTGCCTTCAGACGGACTCGCATTCGAGCTGCGGAGAAAAGACAAAACTATTCGTGATCAACACTGATTTGAAGGGGGAAAAAAGCTCAGTTATCTATCTATTGTTTTTATTGTAATTTACATTTCTATTATTGAATTAATTCTAAATGCATTTGTTTTAACTGCAAAATCTACTGACAGCATTACAGATTTCGCAGATGTGAACATGCACTGAATCTGAACTTAAATGGTTGAAATCCATGAATGCTTTGGAATGCAGACCTAAGGTTGGTCTCTTTTTAAAGAGGACAATCAGCATTGCTCATTTTTGCTTAAAATTAAAGTGTAGAAGTTACATAAGTTTAATATAAAGGAAATGTACTGTAAAAATATTTTTATATAAAATAAATATTTTAGAAGATCGTTTGGAATCTAAAATGGTTATAAACTCAAAGCCATAGGTCTAACTGAGCTATGTTCCACATTTGAAGTTGATATCACGAAGTTCCTGTGAGATTTTAAGCGCTATACCAAAAACAGCCACCGGGTGACACCCAAACGCCTTAGAATTTTATTGATGCATTTTCCCGTCACAAATGTATAAATTTTTGTCACAATATTACTCCCATCTCAAAATAACCACCAAATATGGAATCTTGAGAATCAAACCTAACAATGGGTTTTGTCAAGATTAGAAAGTTTTGATTATAAAATATTGTAGTAAATGTTGTAATATGACACCGCCCACTAGGGGGAGGAGCCTGATAAAAGGATTTAAAGTACCATTTCCATGGTAACGCAATGTCCTAAACAGTTTTTACAGGATGAGTTTTGAGTGTTTAAGTTTTTGAATGATATCTAATTTAGATCATTTCTAAAATATGATAGAGAAAAAGCCAATAAAAAAGACAGTTAACAGGTTAAATATTGTGTAAATTAAGTATGACTTCAGCGATTTTGAGTATCATTTAAAAAAAAAAAAAAAAAGTTTTTTTAGTATTTGATATCAATTATGCATACACACATTTCTTAACAAGTGTGACTACTGATATGATTTTTAATGCACGAGTTGAAGCAGATCACATCATCACATGCTCCTCCTTCAGCAGTCCGTTTGTGTTATTCTCAAATGAAGCCTCTACCAGGCGCTGCAGTGTTTGCTGACCTGACGGAGGCGGTGCGTGAGCGGTGCTCTCTGGAGTCCATCACCCAGCCCACGTGACACTCCATGGGCGGATTGGAGCTGTGCCGCGTCTTCCGCTTGAGAGGCGTCTGAAAGAAGAGATCGGTAAATGCCGGACCGCACTGACATACACGTGCATGCTTCCAGCCGAAAACAGCCGATACGTACTTTAGCATCCAGCGGCCGTCCCTCCTTCACCACGGGGTAGAAGCGTGGCGTCTGCGTGGGGTCCTTGAGCCGCGGCGTGCGGGGCGTGCGAGGCGTGCGGTAGCTGGGAGAGTCAGGCACTGTAGTAGGAAGAGAGCGGGCGATAGCCGACGGCTCAGGCGCTCCGAACAGCTTGTTGGCCAAGGCTTCTGTGGGGACTACAGGAGAGAAAACATTCATGCTTTAAACCGACTGAGCAAATCCAGTCAGACAGGTCGGTTATGACAACTCTATTACAGTATTTTCCCTGAGATCATCATGCAAAGCATCTCCACGTCCCAAAGTTAACTTGCAAACTAGAGCTCAGCACTACAGCAAAAAAATTTAATCCCAGTTTTGTCAGATTGTTTGACTGATTGTTTGACAGCAGCACGATTCAAGTAACATTTTATTAACCATCTGGTTAAAGTTTTATTCCAAGTGCAGCACATGTGAAGTGCTCAACAGTGTAAACGTAAAATTAATTCACTTCTTAAATATCCTAGCAGAAAATATGAAGGCAAATATTGTGCAAACACATCCTATATGTTTAAAAACAACGCAAAAATGCTACATATTTCTTAGCCAATGTAGACATTTAGTTTTAAAAAGGCAATTCAAACTCAAAATGACTGACAGTGTAGCAGCAGTAGCAGCGATTATTAAGAGTGAATGAAAACAGCAGCAACTTTCAGTCAGTCAGCATCATGCAGACATCAAATATCAGTCATACGGTTGTAGTTCAGCACAGGCTTTAGAGTCCAGTATTAATATCGTTGACGAATAATTTGTCAATTTTCGTCAACGACATTTTTTTCACTGACAACAACGAGACTAACGAACTAATGTAACTAAACTCATTAGATTTTAGCCGACTAAATTTACTGTAGATTTAGTCGACTAAAACTAGATACAATTCAGGTGACTAAAATATGACTAAAACTAAATGGCATTTTAGTCAAAAGACTATGACTAAAACTAAATCCTAATTTGCTGTCAAAATTAACACTGCTTTAGTCTAAAAACGTGGTGCTCAAGTTAAAAGTTTAACTGGCGTCTCATAAGCTTGCGTTTTTTCTGCGTCTGGTGTTTTCCAGCACAAACGCATTCTGTGTGAATATCAGGACTAGCGATGTGTTTACTTGTAACGTCTGCTAATTTTTAATTCAAAACTGCATTTCCTTCAACTAAAAATAATAATAAAATCATGCTGAAGCTTTAAAATGGCCCAGGCCGAGTGTAAGTGTGTTTGTGGGTCAGACTCACTCTGCTGGGGCCGCGGGGGTCCGGGAGGAACCTCCTGATTGGGGTCGACGGGAGGTTCAGGGGTCAGACAGTCGAACTGCTCTCGGCTGATCAGGTGCACCTTCTTGAAGTTCTCCACTTCTTGCTGTTGTTACGATATAGCACAGTTACAACCAGACTTACAAGAACATGCCACTGAGACCAGACACTCAACCCAGAATAGCAGGACAAGCAGCAAAACCTTATTTCAAAGCTTTAATCGACACACCTCTGCTCATACCTGTGAACCCCGAGCTGTGGCTCAAACAGCAGTCAGCTGAAGCGAACGCTATCTGGCTTTTCTAGCACTGCTGGCCTTACTGGACGCGGCACGTGAACGGCACAAAGAGCTCGACACAAAAGACCACAACAAACGCTCCGCTGCAAGACCTTTCTGTGCCGTCCGTCCAGAAACACGGCGCTAAAGAACACGCTCTCAGCAGCCGCGAGAAGAACAGAAGAGCGCGAGAATGGACACACACCCAGAATCTGACAGAATCCACGACAATCCCACACATCAGTCCAATGACGGATGACTTACATCTGCTGAGACTGCGCCGATTTCTGCCGCTGCTGCTGACGTCACACGACCCTACAGTACTACTGAGCATTTCACGAGATTTTGAAGTTGTATTGTTGCTCTCAGTGCATTTTTAATAAACGGTTTCTACCGTTTTGTTCTTGGCTATGCAGTCTCCTAGTATTAGAAATGCTTTCAGTGCACTACAGCAGAGCTCTACGCTTACATCTGTTATTAGGAGCACTGTCTGATCATTATGAGGAGATAAGTGATTTGCAAGTGTTAAATGTATGTCAAATGCACAAATGTTAATTAAAACAATCAGAATATTAAGTCACAATCTGAATAAGTTACCAAGCAAATCAAAGCAGTATCAACAAAATTCATTTTTGCACTACAAAGGTGGCACAGAAGAACAAAAGTGGCATTTAGGTATATTTACAGACTGTTTAATGAGGCTCAGAGGTGACATGAATGCTTTTAGATTCATAATGTTATAAAATTAATTTTTTTTATATAAAGTTTTGAATATAAAAATATGAAATGATTTAAATAACTTAATATTTAATTAATATTTCATATTGAAATGATACTTTAAAAATGAAAGTAAAACCGCCAGTAGGTGGCAGCAAATTCCTGTCTTTGAATGAATCAACTGAATGAATGATTCAGTGACAAACAGCTGATTCAGAATCGGGGTGTGAATCCTGGTTTCATGATTCGATTCGATATCATGATGCATCACGATTATATCATATTTATTTTGTGCATTTTTATTTTATTATATAAGCAGGCTACTTTTTAAAATAGAAATCAAAACAATTGTTAAGAACTTAATCAAATAAATATAGCTTCAAAACAAACAAGCAAATATAAAGTAATAAATAGGGGAAAAAGACAATTACAAGTGATAAAAAAAAAAAAAAAAAGTACTTTCAGTATCTGAGAGTGCTTTAAGTCACTCATCTCAGTTCATCGCGATCTCACAAACTTCCCTTATAATCAATGAAGCTCTCATTTAAACCTTTTATGATCGGCGAGCTTGCAGAACTCAGCAGCACTGAACAAAACTCCAGTGTTTTTGAGTGGCGAGGGGTCGCTTGAGCTTAAACTCCTCTGATTGGTCAGTTCGTTCCAGAAATCAACAGATTCGTCTGTGATTGGCTACTTTGCTCAACGCTGCAGAAACTCTCTGTACACTGCGTCGCTCTCCAGAGCTCAAACACAAATACGCTCTGGTGCTCCTAACGATTTTTTCAGCAATTTTCAGTTGCAAATGTGCCTGAAATAGACCGGTTTTCTCTCTATTACTGATTTAGATTTTTTGCATGTGCTCTTTTCTAATGGGAAAAAAGAAATCAAACCAAATGTTAATTTCTCCCTGTAAGCCATGACTGCATCAACAGCAAACGGCCATAAATCTGACCACCAGCTCACCTTGATAGTGGCATACTCGGGCTCGTACGTGTCGTCCCAGAGGTCTTGTTCGTAGTAATAAAGTCCGTCGTTAATGACTTTGCCCAGTTCGCTGGTCAGTTTGGAGCGCGAGGTGTGGTTCCCCGTCCGGTCTCCTCCGGGATGCTTGCGCAGGTACGGCGGCGTCTGCGTGACGATCAGAATCTTGTTGACGTCTTGATCGTTGATTTCACAGTCCGAATCCTCATCTGACCAGTCGGTGAAAGTGTTGCGTCGGCCGTCTATCTGCTCCATCTCCTCGTCGAACATGAAGTCCAGCTCCTCCGGCTCGTCCTGGTCCTCGCCTGCGCTCGGCCCGGTCTGAACCAGCGTCCACGCCTCCTCCGCTTTCTGCAGCAACACGTTCATTAATGACACACATCGGTTTCATACGCTCCAGATTTAAGGCTGTCGTTTTGATACTTGCAATGCTCAAGAAACAAAAATATGACTGCTATTCTTTATTTGTGACCCTGGACCACAAAACCAGTCATAAGGGTAAATTTTTCAAAACTGAGATTTATGGTTTGTTAGGATAGGACAATATTTGGCTGAGATACAACTATGTGAAAATCTGGAATCTGAGGGTGCAAAAAAATCTAAATATTGAGAAAATCATCTTTAAAGTTGTTCAAATGAAGTTCTTAGCAATGCATATTACTAATCAAAAATTAAGTTTTGATATATTTACGGTAGGAAATTTACTAAATATCTTCATGGAACATGATCTTTACTTAATATCCTAATGATTTTTGGCATAAAAGAAAAATCATAAGCATTATATTATTTTCAGCAATTTTGTGCATCATTTAGGTACAATCTGCATTTAAATGTAAATATATCTATCACAGTTCAATCCGGTCAAGAGAACGTCCAGGTCATGTTTTGTGTCAGTAATGAAAAAAAAAAAAAAAGGTATATTATCTTTATCTTTGTTGTATTTTTCCCATTTCTAAAGACTGAATATCTAATTTAGGGCTGGGCATATTATCACAATATTTTTTTCCATATCATATGATATTGATATTTATTGCATTTACCGTTAATGGGGAAGGAAATACTTTCCACATGTTTGTTAGACCCTGAGAATAAATGTAAGCATAACTTAGCTTTTAATTTAGGACCCCACGATATCCATTTTATTTTCCCCTAAATTCTTTTTCCATTTTATTTTTTTCTGGATTCTGTGATTTATGATTGAATAAAAATGTATCACAAAAAATGGTGCCTAATGAAATAAATCAATAAAACAAACATTTTCATCATTCTTTTAAAATGCAAATTAAATTCAAAATAAAACATTGCATTTTTATTGTCAAGCAAGATGTTACACAACAGAACTATAAATGAATGAAAAAAAAACTAGGTTGTACGATACGCCTTAAAAATAATATTATTATTCCTTAGAGAATTATAGTTTAGTATAGTTTAGTTGTAATATATTTCTGTCATAATTTCTTCAAGTTAAACCAGACTTTTATTTTGATGGATTTTAGATTAATCCATATCGAGTTAACATATCCAGAGCTTATTATCGTTATCAACATAAATTTTATGGCAATCTCAATATGATATGTGACCCTGCAGCACAAAAGCAGTGTTAAGTCGCTGGGGTATATTTGTAGCAATAGCCAACAATACATTGTATGGGTCAAAATTATAGATTTTTCTTTTATGCCAAAAATCATTAGGATATTAAGTAAAGATCATGTTCCATGAAGATATTTTGTACATTTCCTACCGTAAATATATCAAAACTTAATTTATGATTAGTAATATGCATTGCTAAGAACTTCATTTGGACAACTTTAAAGATTATTTTCTCAATATTTTGATTTTTTTGCACCCTCAGATTCCAGATTTTCAAATAGTTGTATCTCAGCCAAATATTGTCCTATCCTAACAAACCATACATCAATGGAAAGCTTATTTATTCAGCTTCAGATGATGTATAAATCTCAATTTCGAAAAATTGACCCTTAGGACTGGTTTTGTGCTCCAGGGTCACATTGTTTTATCGCCGAGCCCTAATCTCAGTCCTGTCTTTCTGATAGTGGGCGAGGTGTGTGTTTGTACCTTGGGTCTCGCCGGTGACGGCCGAGGCCTCTTCTTCACTTCGATCCATGACTCCGAGTCCAGATCGGGCAGGCTGGCAGACAGGCCCTTCGGCATCAGCTTCAGGTTACTCACCTCATCAGTCTTGGACTGCACCAGCGCGGAGGCCCTCGGAGACCCTGCAGGTCAAACGCTCAGTCAGAACGGCCCTTCATAACCCATTACAGCTCATGCCACGCCAGAGCTCACGCTCACCTGTCTGCTTCTCCACAACGTTCCTGGGAACAAACTCTGGGCAGTCGATGAGCTGAGAGAAGTCTGTGTGCGAATGGTCCAGCAAAGCGAGGCCGGGCAGCGGCCATTTCTCAGGCTCCTCCTTGCAGCGAATCTTCATATCGGTGATCTCCACCACCTTACTGTCCTTCAGGGCCTGAAAGAACAGCAGACAGCACAGATTACAGACGCCGCGGCTCATTAAACAGCGGTGCACCCAGCCGGCGATGATCTGACCTCTATGATGAGGCGGAAGTCTGTGGTGAGCGCCTGCACTCGGTGGAAGCTCGCGATCAGAGCGATCGGCAGGAAGCCCTCCTGATCCATCTTCCTGCGCAGGAAGAAATCCCTCTCCAGGTTGTCCATGCTGAAGTAGTATTCACTGCAGAAACAAACACACCGTCTCAACATGGGGAGAAGACCACACACAACTCCTGTTTTTAATGCATGCGTTCATTCCTGTGGTTTCCAACAGCTTGAATAATGCAGAAACAATCAAAATAAATTAACCTTTGGCCAGTTCACTGAAAAGAACCGACTCGACCGAGCCATTCGTTCACAAATGAATCGTTTGCATTGCTAATTTTTAAAGAGTCATGAAACACTAAACTACATTTCCTGAGGTGTTTGTATTGCACTTCATTGAAGACAACGCAAGCATCCGTTAATTTTAATCATTATTTTCATCTTCTGGATATAAAATCTTCATCTTTTGTTTATTTCAATTCCATGTCAGCAGAAGAATAAAATATAGCTGCAAGCAGCAATTAAAGAGGCCAAGCACTACAGAAGCAAGCAAGGTAGCGAGCATCAGACCAACTGCAAGAATGAGTAACTAAAGACATTAAGAGAATTTAAGTCAAAATGGCTAAATAAATCACAAATACATTCACTAGTGATATGATTTAATGGTTTAACATTTTTGAACACAAGGTGGCACTGCCACAGAACTTTTTCAGTACCTTCAGGGGACGGTGCTGAAGACGCATACAAAGTTTCATAATGATACGCTAATGCGTATACAGCATTTTACGACAAAATTCAAAATGGCAGATGCCCAAAATGGCCAACATGGGAAAATTTGGTATCGTTTGACTCGGTATGTCACACTGAATCTAAAGAGACCAGTCTGTGATTTTTGGCCAAGCCATTCAAGAGTAATAAGTAAAAATAGCCATTTTTCATATCTCCTGACCACTAGGTGGCGCTGTGCCGAAACTGTGCAGGTAGCCTCAGGTCATGGTTATTATAACACACACCAAGTTTGGTCTCAATACGCTAAACCGTTGCGGAGATATAGCCTATCTACTTTGGCGTGCTCTTCGTCAAATTCGTTCGCATGTTATTTGAGAACGCTTTGACCAATCAACTTAATTCCATCTCTCAATTCCAATTTTTTGCCAGCATGGTATGATGATGATCTGAGCCAGTTTTGGTGAAAATCAGACAAACCGTCTAGGACGAGTTCGAAAAAAAAGTCGGTTTTTCGAATAATTAAAAATTGGGAAAAATTTTGACCCATAGAAATGTACATTTTGTTGTGCATTCGACTCGGCATGAGCCAAGGAATCAGAGGAAAATACATTTTGTTTCTAGTTCTTATGGTTCAAAAGTTATTAGCATAAACATGAGTGCAACTTTGAGCTGTTGGTGGCGCTAGAGGGCTTGAGTTAAAGACTCCAAACTTGCTGTGGTTAATGTTCAGACTGTCCTCTATCTGTGAGCCAAATTTCATAACTTTCCCGCAAGCGCTTCTGTGGTCTGCCATAGCGGAAGTAGGGCGTAGAAGAATAATAAGAACACACCTTCAGTGCTTGGCCACTAATAACAAAAGCCATACACTTATCAAGAAGCTACAGCAGAAGTGTTCTCAGGTCAGAGGGGTTGAGTGTGGTTCACTCACATCTGTCTCTTGATGTAGTCCTTCAGCAGGTCCTGGTCCACAGCGTACAGCTCAGCACTGCTCATGTTGTCGTAATAGTAGGTCACCGTGCTGTTGAACTTCTGACCGTGAGCACCATCCTTCCCGTCACTGCCTTTATAGCCATAGTAGTCATAATGACCTGATGAGACCAGAACAACAGACTGGGTAAAACAGCAGAGGAACTCCTGGAGTATTCTGTTACAGTACTGAGAGGAAACTCTAAATCATTCTCTTTTAACCCTCTGCTGTTGTTTGCTTGGCAGTCAAATGACCAAATTTTTTTTGGTAATGAAATTAATGTGCTTTATTTTAATTTGATAATGTTTTTTTAATATACATTTTGTATTTTAGTGGATTTTACTTTACTAAATTATTTTTATTGAATAGTTATGATCCATTTATTACCTGTTAACCACATTTTGAGCTGTTAACCAACTTAAACTGTCGTAAATCTTGAATTCTTTGGAGCACAGACTTCAGTTTGGTCTCTTTTAAAGAAGACGCTTGGCAAATTAATGCTCAAGTGAAAAAAAGTTTAAAATGTGAAACTAAAAAAGTGAGAGAGTGTGTGAGTGAGAGAGAGTGTGTGTGAGAGAGAGTGAGTGAGTGTGTGTGTGTGTGTGTGTGTGTGAGTGTGTGTGTGTGTGTGTGAGTGTGTGTGTGTGTGTGTGAGTGTGTGTGTGTGTGTGTGAGTGTGTGTGTGTGTGTGTGAGTGTGTGTGTGTGTGTGTGAGTGTGTGTGTGTGTGTGTGAGTGTGTGTGTGTGTGTGTGAGTGTGTGTGTGTGTGTGTGAGTGTGTGTGTGTGTGTGTGAGTGTGTGTGTGTGTGTGTGAGTGTGTGTGTGTGTGTGTGAGTGTGTGTGTGTGTGTGTGAGTGTGTGTGTGTGTGTGTGAGTGTGTGTGTGTGTGTGTGAGTGTGTGTGTGTGTGTGTGAGTGTGTGTGTGTGTGTGTGAGTGTGTGTGTGTGTGTGTGAGTGTGTGTGTGTGTGTGTGAGTGTGTGTGTGTGTGTGTGAGTGTGTGTGTGTGTGTGTGAGTGTGTGTGTGTGTGTGTGAGTGTGTGTGTGTGTGTGTGAGTGTGTGTGTGTGTGTGTGAGTGTGTGTGTGTGTGTGTGAGTGTGTGTGTGTGTGTGTGAGTGTGTGTGTGTGTGTGTGAGTGTGTGTGTGTGTGTGTGAGTGTGTGTGTGTGTGTGTGAGTGTGTGTGTGTGTGTGTGAGTGTGTGTGTGTGTGTGTGAGTGTGTGTGTGTGTGTGTGAGTGTGTGTGTGTGTGTGTGAGTGTGTGTGTGTGTGTGTGAGTGTGTGTGTGTGTGTGTGAGTGTGTGTGTGTGTGTGTGAGTGTGTGTGTGTGTGTGTGAGTGTGTGTGTGTGTGTGTGAGTGTGTGTGTGTGTGTGTGAGTGTGTGTGTGTGTGTGTGAGTGTGTGTGTGTGTGTGTGAGTGTGTGTGTGTGTGTGTGTTCACATAGCAAGTACCAAACCCTTTTCAAAGTTTCATACCATTCCGATGAACTAAAAATAAAAACAAAACAAAATGTAAAATGTTTTGGTAAAAAATGAGGGTTAATGTTAGTTCTGGTGCCTGGGAACAGACCGTCTTTAGATTCAAGTAAAACGGAGTCTCTCAACAAACAGAAGCCAAACTATCTCAGTGAAAAGACTCTGGATCCCGTGTGAGATTTGTGCTGGAGTCGAGTCCATGTGTATTTCACTGCACTTCTGGAGTTCTCTACCTCTGCCGGCTCCTCTGCCGCGTCCTCGTCCCCGGCCCCGACCCCGGCCGCGGCCCCTGGCAGTGTATCTGTACGGCGCTCCCTCGCTCTTCACGCTCGACACCTCATCATGGTCATCCTTGAACTCCTGATCGTACTTCCCACTGTGCCAGTCTGCAAACACAAACACAATCCAGCACGCTACTGTAGCGAAGAACCCACAAACCCTTCACACTCGAAAAGTGTTGAGTGCCTGACGAAATGAAAATGCAAGTCATTTACACTGCCGTACAAACATTTGGGATCAGTACGATTTTTAATGTTTTTAAAGAAGTCTCTTCTGCTCATCAAGACTGCATTTATTTGATCAAAAATACAGAAAAAACAGTAATATTGTGAAATATTATTACAATTGAAAATTTTCTCTGTGAATATCTGTTAAACTGTAATGTATTTCTGTGATGCGCAGCTGTATTTTCAGCATCATTACTCCAGTCTTCAGTGTCACATGATCTTCAGAAATCATTCTAATATGCTGATTTGCTGCTCAAGAAACATTTATTATTATCAATATTGGAAACAGTTTTTGCTGCTTAATATTTTTTGGAACCTGTGATACTTTTTTTCAGGATTCTTTGATGAAAAGTTTAAAAGAACAGTGTTTATTTAAAATAGAAATCTTTTCTAACAATGTAAGTCTTTACTACCACTTTTTAAAAAATCTATTTTACACAACCGTGCCAAATAAAAGTATTTGTTCATTTCAAACAAAGAAAAAAAATACTGACCCCAAACTTTTGAACAGTAGTGTACATTGTTATAAAAGATTTCTATTTCAAATAAATGCTGTTCTTTTGAACGTTCTATTCATCTGTGAATCCTGAAAAATAAAATGCATCAGTTTCCACAAAGATATTGTGCAGCACGACAGTCAAGACAATCAGAAATGTTTGTTGAGCAGCAAATCAGCATATTATACTGATTTCTGAAGATCATGTGACACTGAAGACTGGAGTAATGATGCTGAAAATACAGCTGCACATCACAGAAATACATTACAGTTTAACAGATATTCACATAGAAAACAGCTGTTTTAAATTACAATAATATTTCACTGTTTTTACTGTATTTTTGATCAAATAAATGCAGCCTAGAGCAGAAAATACTTATTTAAAAAAAAAAAAACAACATTAAAAATCTTACTGATCGCAAACCATTACGCAGACAGAGCAAAGACAAATATGACGGCCAAGACTGAGCTGAATCTTCCCATCAGTAGAATTTTTAATAAGCTGATCACAAAAACAAATAGGTGTGTTTATTAGGGCTGGGTAAAGAATATCGATTCACATAGAAAACAGCTGTTTTAAATTACAAACTGTTTTCACTGTTTTTACTGTATTTTTGATCAAATAAATGCAGCCTAGAGCAGAAAATACTTATTTAAAAAAAAAAAAAAAACATTAAAAATCTTACTTGATCGCAAACCATTATGCAGACAGAGCAAAGACAAATATGACAGCCAAGACTGAGCTGAATCTTCCCATCAGTAGAATTTTTAATAAGCTGATCACAAAAACAAATAGGTGTGTTTATTAGGGCTGGGTAAAGAATATCGATTTCCTGATTTTAATCGATTCTCATTTTTATGAAACGATAACTAATCATAAATCCCAAGAATCGATTAGTCTCGCCTGTCAGATAATGAAGGGAACATTGTAGCGCACCTCCCATCCAATAAATCACAATAAGCTTTGCGATTTGTTACTTTTGATATGAAACTAAGTCTAACTAATTTTAAATTCTGTCCATTTTATTACAATATTCAGATATAAAATGTCGTTTTGGCGCTGTTTGATGTCGAGTGACAGATCGCTGTGAACTGATCTTCTCCTCCGCTTTAATAGCAGCTACAGCATGAAATAAACATGAATGAACATCTGAAGCGATGTTAACTCACCGAAACCAGTCTCCAGGCTCATACCTCCCATCCAATAAATCACAATAAGCTTTGCGATTTGTTACTTTTGATATGAAACTAAGTCTAACTAATTTTAAATTCTGTCCATTTTATTACAATATTCAGATATAAAATGTCGTTTTGGCGCTGTTTGATGTCGAGTGACAGATCGCTGTGAACTGATCGTCTCCTCCGCTTTAATAGCAGCTACAGCATGAAATAAACATGAATGAACATCTGAAGCGATGTTAACGCACCGAAACCAGTCTCCAGGCTCATGTAATCACTCAATCAGTGTTTCAAACGAGGAGAGACGACGATAGCTTAAACAATCTGTCACGTAACGTCACATTTAACACAGAAAAACACATTCGGTGACCATGAACTCATTAGTCAGCTAGAAAAATTAACTCTAGAGAGGAGCATTTTGATAAATATGCACCATATAACATTCTCATTATAATTTTTTTAGTGTTCTTCAATATTTAATTTATGTTTGAATAAATCCGTCAAGTTTTTGTGACGACCACCATTTAAATGTTTCGATTTCAAAATACAAATTGGAGTAGAAATATAATTATGTAATTTAAATTTAAAGTTAGTGTTATAACTTTAATATTACAAAAACTTTGAGTAGCCTATATTTTAAGTGTTTGTTTACAAATCAGCAAATTTCAGCCTTCCATATTATTGATTCTCAGGTATATTTCACAGCATTCGTTGAGAGATTTTTTTTTTCCTTGAGAAAATTTGCAATGTCCTGTACCTGATATATATCAAAAATAATCGATATTGAATCGAATCGCAAGCTTGTGAAGGATAATCAAATCTAATTGTGTCCCTGCAGCACAAAAGCAGTGTTAAGTCGCTGGGGTATATTTGTAGCAATAGCCAACAATACATTGTATGGGTCAAAATTATTAATTTTTCTTTTATGCCAAAAATCATTAGGATATTAAGATCATGTTTCATGAAGATATTTAGTAAATTTCCTAAAGTAAATATATCAAAACTTAATTTTTGATTAGTAATATGCATTGCTAAGAACTTCATTTGAACAACTTTAAAGATGATTTTCTCAATATTTAGATTTTTTTGCACCCTCAGATTCCAGATTTTCAAATAGTTGTATCTCAGCCAAATATTGTCAGATCCTAACAAACCATACAGCAATGGAAAGCTTATTTATTCAGCAGATGGCTGTGGTCGTGTCAGCACCTCTCAGGTCGTTGCGGCCGTTCGGAGGAACTCGATGAGCATCAAACTGACGCGTGTTATTCCTGGAGGCCGAACGCTCGCGAGGACCCTCAGCCTTCACCTCGATCCTCAGAGGAACCCACTTGTGCTTGTTTCCTACAACAACACCACCACCACAAATATTCATGTCATAATACATCTTAAAGCTGACACAATGAACATTATTAGCGCTCGTTCATTCACATCCCAGATAAAGCGCTTTAAAAACACTGTAAAGAAAGTCTGTAGCTGCTGGATGAAGGCTAGAGTGAAACACCTCGCTTTTTCTGTCCATTTCTCTGCGACTCCTCGTCAGTGTTTTTCTCTTCTCCAGAGTCGTCCGATTTGGCGTTCAGGTTTTCTTTACTTTCTTCGTTTTCCCTCTTTCCTTTGGTCTCTCGTTTGACCGCTGACTTCTTCACCACCTGACGGAGCGATCAAACGAAACACTCGAATCATTTCCACAAACCCGTCTGACATTACACTAGATCAGCTCTGTATGAAAGGAACCGGTCTCTACCTGAGAGCTTCTTTACTTCCAGAGTCCAACAAAGCCGTATATGCATTCAGACAGAAAATCATTTGGGATAACGGTCAAGATTGAAGATTTCTGACACAGTTGTACCTGAACTTCCTTCGTCGCGATCTCTCCAGGTGTCGGCCAGTTGTTCGTATCTCCAAAATCCCCCACCTTTAAAAACAGTGAACGTTACACCTGTTTCACAGCTAATCACAAGAGCAGACTGTAACACCACCGCGCTTCTGGAAAACACACAGCCGCTTGCTCATATCAGACCTCAAAATATCATCTATCACCAACAAATCTAATTCAGGGGTCCTCAAACTTTTTGGGGCCATGGAGCCCTCATAATTGCAGCAGAAATAAAGCATATACTCAGTACGATTTGTTCTCTTAGATGCCATTGGAACTTTTTTTTTAATAACATTTTTCTGGATTATGTTTAATTATTTTTTTACGTTTAATTACTCCCCCTCAATTTAATTTTTTCTGGACACTGTTTTATTGGTTAAATTAAATCATTTTAATTATATCTTATTAAATATTTTTATTTAACATTATTTGAAATCATAAAACAAGATTTATTAAAGGTTTAACAAAAAATATATTTTTAAGCCCATATGAAATCTGCTTTATTTTTTCTCAAATTCTGTTTTATTGCTCTCAAATTCAATGTTTTCCATTTAAATTTTTCTGCATTGCATTTAAAAAAAAACGTTATTATTAATGTTATTAACATTTTTACAACACCATGGCCATATGAAATGTTAGATTTTCTTCAGAAATTCTGTGTTTGAGTTTTTTTTGCATTTATAATTTAATACAAATTTATTTTCAACAACTGTGGTAATCAAATGATGGCATAAAACATTGACAATTTAATCTTTTAAAATGTAATCAAATTAATTTTCAATTTTTGGCAGCTGTACAGCAGAGGTTTATTGCAAAGTGAGATTATTTACTTAATAAAATCATTATTACTTTGAGAAGTACATTCTACCGTACAATAGCAATATTTGCGCCATTTATTCCCACAGACACAAGCAGGATTCATATTTCAATAGCAGTGTTTCTGCAGTTTAATATTCACAGACACCAGAGAGTCCATATCGCAATCTGATTAAGTGCACTAACCTACTTTCAATTTATTTATCCAAAATATGCCAAATTTCATGGCATTCCGTGTTATGCACTAAATTGCATTCTGTCTGGATTCGGTCTGTTTCGTAGACCCCTGACTCTGGGTCAAGGACCATCTGGATTCGGTCAGAATTACTGAAACTTGTCTTTCAGATAAGTCCGTTGTGATATAATTTCACTGTCAAAGACTCTTCTCAAATCTCTGCTGTCAGTGCTGCGTCTGTGAGGCTCCCAAGAAAATTTCACAAGGATCTTCTTCAGTCATTTTACGCTGTTCGTCTGGTAAATGTGTCTTGGGTCAGTCAAACACAGAGACGTCACTCACCTTCCCGCCGCGTCTCATTCTCGCGTTTCCTGCCTTCACAACCTTTGTGGGCCCAGAATGCTCTAAAGCAGCAGAAGAGAGAGAGCAGACAATCAAAAACAGGTCAAATGATAACAATTCAAAATAGTTTCTATAAATTGTTTTGCTCATTTTACCACTAAACCTGAAAAAAGAACACACGATGTGTTTGAGGATCGTAAGCAGTGCCTTCTCCTCATAAACACAAGAGGCGCTTCAGAACGTGACTAAAGTCATCATGAAATCAAAACAAACAATTCTTAATCATGCAACACTATTATTATTATGAATGATTTATCCGGGAACTCCATCAACAGCCGCTCTGAGTTTGAGACGCTTTAACGCGCATTTGGGAACGAACCATACGCCAAACGTCTCATGAACGAGAAGTGCTAATCAACAAAAGACAAGGTTATTTTGGCTTTACACCAAAACAAAAGCCTGGTTTAACAGTGAAAAACACTAAACATGTGGCAGAAGTCCTCTGAATGTGCTCTAGTTCATGACGGTTCGGTACGTACCTCGGTTCTGACGTCACGGTTCGGTACGGTTTCGGTACAGCAGGGGGAAAACATAACATTGCTTTTTTATTATTATTAAACAGAGGTTTACTGAACAAATGGCTCTTTCTTTAAATTCAATTATAACTAAAATGCTCTTAGGGATAAGAATCTACCTCAGCTGATGATCGAAACTATAGTGAGCCCTTTTACATTACTATAAGATTACAGTTAACAGCAGAGCCCAAACTTACATTCAATTACGGTTTATTTTTTAAATAATAATCAACACTCAAATTAAAGAAATTGTATGCAAACATGTAAATTACACATAATGCAGTTTTAAATTAACTTACAAAATTATAAAATTTCTATATGTTGTTGAAATTTACACAGTGCCTCTAACAGATTTATTTAAACATGCAATAATTAAGACATCACTAACAGGTAAAGTAAAATATAATGAGTATATAGTCTAATATTTCGCGAAATGCTCTTCTCTAGACTTCATTTATCACGCACTAACGAGCTGTGGACACTGATGACTGCCTGAGGTAAATTAAATGCTACTGACATTTTGTTTACAAGCTGTTTTATTGCCGTCTTTCCGCGGTTGAAACACTGATTACATGAGGCATGAGATGTTCATTCATGTTTATTTTGCGCTATAACTAGTAGTAAAGAGGAAGAGATGATCGTTTGAACTAAGGCGTTTATACAGCAATTTGTCGCGCCATATTCAAGAGCATCAAAACCGCATTTATTGTTTGAATTTGACAATTGACATAATTTGAAAGATGAGACTTTGTTTCTTATCAAAAGTAACAATATAACTGTTATATAAGTTACAATATAAGTTTCCAGTGAAGTTTCGCTCGTGCAGTGGTTAAAACAACGCTGTATTTGTTCGGTACACATGCGTACCAAACCGAAAGATCCTTACCGAAAATTTTTGCACAGATTTGCAATCTTTGGGTCAATGGCTAGAGATTTAAAGGGATGATTCACCCAAAAATTTAAATTCTGTCATCAGTTGATGGTAGCCGTTGTCTTCCAAAGTATTTTTTTTTCCATACAATGGCAGTTTCTTCAAAATATCTTCTTTTGTGTTCAGCAGAAGAAAGAGGTTTGAACAACTTGAGGGTGAGTAAATGATGACAGAACTTCCATTTCTGGGTGAACTGTCCCTTTAATGCTGCTACAGAGTCAGAGCAGGTGAAAGTGGTTCACAGGTTTCACAGAAAGAGCATGAAGTCAGTCAAATCGCTATCATTATGCTTTACAGCTTAACTGACAATATTTGATGAAAGAGTGGAACAGATTTTCGTTTCCGTCTGCGGTGTGGCTCAAGGAGTCTGTGGATTGGGCAGAAACGTGAAATAATGATTGTTTAGATTACGTTTCAAACATATTAAGTCTCTGATTATGACGCATGTAACAGCCACACTAAGCAAGAACCTATATAAATAAAAATATGCTAGTCTCGTGAGAACCAAGTTTTGTTTACAGCAAAGGAAAACCAGTGTCCTCTTGGCTTATACTGAAATCCTCCCACATTTTTCTTTCCATGTTCGTCACTTCTCACCGGAGCTTATGCACAACACAAAATCTCAACACCCATTCACTGCCATTATAAAGCTTGGATGAGCCAGGATATTTTTAATATAACTCCGATTGTATTCATCTGAAAGAAGAAAGTCATATACACCTAGGATGCCTTGAGGGTGAGTAAATCATGGGGTACTTTTCATTTTTGGGTGAACTATCCCTTTAAGATAGCATTACTGCTCAACTTTTTGCTCCCAGATATTAATATTTGGCAAAGTGACAGCAGAAAATTAAATACAAATGAGCTATTACTCATGGTATAATAGCTGATATCAGCAGGCGCCTCTGTCTGAGCATAAGGTACGTGAGCTGTTTTGGTCTCAATTCCAGCGTTAGGAGTCTGTCAGCAGACGACAGGCGTTCATTCAGCCTCTCCTCCAGCTGCTGTAACCAATAACCCTAAACCTGACCTTTAACCTGACCCTAACTCAGTCCTCACAGAAACGCACTGCTAAGATTCCCCAGCAGGAAAAAATACATCCAAATCAAAATGTCACTACAAAAGGTCAACAGGCAAATCAGTTTAATTTGTCGGTCAAGCACTGTATGAACGATTTAAGGCATGAACGATGACTGAAGCAGCTGGATGTGTGTTACTAACTACATGGTCAGCCTATTGCTGATTTATACAGCATTTCCCATGAATCACATAGTCTGGAGGCCTGCCACGGTCTAATCTGTCCAGACGGTTTCATAATATACAGAACATTTTGACACTTCTCATTAGGGATGTAACGAGGCACACAGCCGTTGAAAAGCAATAAAAATGTCACGATTCAAGTCGGTTGAGATGTTAAACGAATCGAGAAACATTTGGGGGTGGGAGTTTATATCAATGTATCTCTGAGAAGAACTGACTGTCTTTAAAAAAATGTAAATGCTATTTTCTTTTCATCTTACCTCCAGATAATGCATATTACAGTAGTGTTCATAAGCGCAGCTGCTTTGTTTACAGCGGTAACCAAGGAAACACTGTATCACTGCTTCTCCATGAGCGCCTCCTGCTGTCAGAGAGTGAATCTGCGTCTCATTCAGAGCTTCTGTTGTTTCAGTTCCATTCAGATATGATTAATGTAGCATAATTTCACACAACTAAACTCTTCTGTTTTTGCTTCAAAATTATAAAATCTAATTTAAATCAAAAACTGCCCATGTATGCATCATCTTTGTTTGGATCATGATTAAAATGCAGCGTTTGGCTCTGATTGTAAATGGAAAGAGCACAGACAAAGCCTTAGTTTGTTTATAAGAAGAGATTTCTTTTATATGTATTATTTATTATATGATTTGGGATTTGTTTTAAAATTCCAATTTGGTTTCGTTATGTGACATTTCAATTTCACAAAGAAATGTGCAACATTTTGTCTGAGAAATAATAAAAGGACATTTTCTTTTATCATTTGTCTTAAATCTCATTTTGTTAAAAAATCGTGAGAAAATCATGAAATCAGTATCGTGAATCGTATCGCATCGTGGGTTAAATAAATCGCTACATCCCTACTTCTCATTATAACAAAAACACTGTAACACTGCGTTTAGCGAAGCACCCGTCAAACGAAACCGAAATCGCGGTACAGTTTAGGGCCCTTATCATTAGGGGTGGGTACCGAAACACAGTATGTACTAGAACCGAATCAGAACACAGATTTCAGTGCCACTTAAATGCTTGATCAATCGATTGAAATATTTGTTCTCTGGTTCTCCGAAACGGACGTAAGGATCACCGGCACCGTACGTGAAAAATAATTTCCCGACTGAGAAAATGCACGTGAACGCAAGTTGGAAAGCTCTAATAATACAAATCCAGCACATCTTTGTAGTAACGCGAGTGTCCATGTTGTGTGTCCAGCACAACTCGGGAAATGAGAGCATCCGAGGAGCGCGTGAATGCAGTAATTACACTTGCTCTGACGGCAGCAGCTAGCTAAGTTAAACATTCCTAAATTAAAATGCCTAAAGCTAAACTTCCCTTGTAATGACTTGCAATGAGAAGCGTTTCTAAACCTGTTGTCCAACAAAAGAGAACACTATAACGTTTTTACTCCACAACTGCTTCCATTTGTGATCTGATGTGGCTTCTTGTCACAGAATGAGCATCTGGTAAAAAGGCTATGTCGATTAGCAATGGATTATAAATATACTTAATTATGATAAATACCAAAGATGGCTTAAATAACACAAACTGCATATTGTCGCAGTCGAGTGTTTATTGTCTTTGTTTTATCATTCAAAACGTTTATATCTTCGGTTTACTCCGTTACAGCTATAATAGCGATGCCTTTGTCCATATTAGGTCAAAATATTAATTTTTTCTAACAATATACAGGTTAAAGGTTTGGGGTCAGTAATTTTTTTTTTTTTTTTTTATTCAGCAAGGATGTGTTAAATTGATAAAAAGTGATAAAGACTTATATTGTTAGAAAACAATAACTTTTTAACTTTTTATTAATCAAAGAATCCTGAAAAAAGTATAGAAGGTTCCAAACAAATATGAAACAGCACAACAGTTTCCAACATTGATAATAAATCAGCATATTATAATGATTTCTGAAGATCATGTGACACTGAAGACTGGAGTAATGATGCTGAAAATACAGCTGCGCATCACAGAAATATATTACAGTTTAAAGGATATTAAAATGGAAAACCATTATTTTAAATGGCAATAATATTTCACAATATTACTGTTTTTTCTGTATTTTAGATCAAATAAATGCAGGCTTGATGAACAGAAGAGACTTCTATTAAAAACATAAAAAATCTTACTGATCCCAAACTTTTGAACGGCAGTGCACTTATTAATTATTTTTTCCCTTTATATTTTAAATTGCAGCTGCATTACAATGCAGTACTGTCTTAGGGATAATAAATATATACAAGTATTATTATTATTTAATTGTTTGGCTTCCTAAAACAGTGTTTCCCAACCGGGGTGCCGTCTGTCGAGAGCAGGGGTGCCGTGTAAAAAAAATCATTTTTTAATATTTTTAAATTGCTAAAATGTTCAAAAAAGCATCTATTATATAATATCCATTTTATTCAGTTCAAAGTTTGAAATCAAGCTATCTCTTGCTACTGCACCAAAATTACCCCACTGTAAAATAAAAAAAAACACTTGAGTGAGCAAAAATTTGTGAGATAGCTAGTTATAATGGTAATTAAATAATGTTTACACATGTATAAAAGCTTACATTAAAATCTGTCATATAAATTGGTCTCTTCATTAGAAATTAGCCTACTGATTGCCACCATTGATGGACAATTTTTTTTTTATAATATTAAAAATATCTGTATGACATTATATTCTGCAGTTCTTCCCTGTTGTACCGAATATCTATACTTTTCAAATTATCATATCAAAGTTAGAAATTCAAATATTGTGACAATTTATTTTGTAGGATGCCACAAGTTTGTTAAAATTTCCAAAGGGTGCCGCGACTAAAGAAAGGTTGGGAAACACTGTCCTAAAACACCAGTGTGAATGTAATGTGGACCGAGACATCAGCTTTGAGTCCATGTTAAAATCAATGCAAAGACTTTTTTCTTGGGTTGCAGCTCTTAATACAACTAAACCAGATGACGCATACAACTTACAAATCCACTAAATGTTCCAAAGGGCATGTCCCCTACAGGGCCCGGGGCCCATTGCCACATACAAGCATTGCACATGCAAACTCACTGTACTGAACTCACCAAGCGTCATTCAAATGTAGAAGTGGAGCAAGCAAAGACAGTCTGCATTAATGATGAGAAACACATCTACTGATCACATGGCACGAACCACGCTGTCCTCATGCTGAGGAACTCTGGGATAGCAAGCAGCCCGACCAGCCCTATCACACCGCTTCATGTGGCTGCTTTACAGCACTGCGCTCAATCAGGTCCGCCTGCACGTTCAGCGTCAATCCAAAAGATGAATGTTCACCAGAGGCTAACGGCAGCACTGACACGCGTGTGCATCAAACATCACGACAGACACGAACGAGCCGCGCATAAAGCCGCATTTCGAGCGGATCGCGGATTGAACAACGTTACGCTTGAACTCGAACCCGAGCGACTTCGTGACAAACACGTGGATCTCACACGTGTCGGCGGAGGAACGCACACGCTCGGCTAATACAGTCGAAATCCCAAACACAACCGCGTTTCATCTGCTCTGACGATAAAACGCTGAACGCTGAGGAGTTTTGGCAGCTCTGTGGCGATAATGCTCCGTCAGCGCCGGCCTGTCAGACGAGCTCAAACGCGACAGGCCGCTAACGTTAATGCTAATGCTAACCCGATAGCCATTTGTTCAGAAAAGCTGGCTGAGGCGAAGAACAGTGGGACGTTCAGCGTCCCATCGGTAATTATAACGTCAAAAAACAACCCGGTTTGTTGTGCGTCAGCACGTCCTTAAACGAACGAGCTCGAGAAGCCGTGAATCGCAGACCCGAGGCCTAACGTTACCGGAGCTCAGCGTTAACGTTACACCGCTGTCATGCGCGTCTGCCGAGGAGAGCTGGCCGATCCGAGTCTGCACAGATAAACGCTGACATCTGGATGCACATCTGGCGCCCTAACCAGTGCGAATCTGAGGCAGAAACATGACACGCACGGGCCCGGTGTTATCGGTAACGTTACTGACCGTGCGGTGTTTGTCCGTTCACCCCGCTCATCTTCTTCGTCCACGGGTTCACCTTGGGCGGCGGAGCTTCTGTGAACTCCTTCCGAGAGGCGTCTTCTTCACACTCCGGGCTGCTGCTCTCCTCTTTCGCGCGTTTGAGGCTTTGCTCCTTCACCGGGAAGCCTCCGTCCTTCTGCTCCTCCTGCTCCAGCAGCGCGTTGCTCGGTAGGAGAGTCTCCACCTCAGTGGCCATTTCTCCTCACAAACACCTCAAATCCACCGCAATGTGCTGCCAAAAGATCTGCTGCTGCCGCCACTCCACCCCTAGACCAAAGGGCTTCAGTCTAAGACGCAGAGTGGTTGAGTTCAATTAAAACATGTAAAAGAAACGCCGGGAACCTTTAAAAACTCGGGCTGGGCTTCGCTGCTTACGGCGGTGTGAAAGAACCACGCGTTGAGCGTGAGCGCGCACGTACGCGGGGCGTGGCGACTACAGAGCGCGACGCCACGTGACTGGCCTCCTGGCTCGAGATATATCCAGCTGCAGACCCGCAGCACCAGCAGTTTCAGAACCGCAGCCATAGAACCGGAAGTGAGGGGCGGAGTTATTGACAACGAGAGAGCACGGTGAGTAGTCTGTAATGTTTTTGCTATCATACGTTTAATAATTATCGTATATATTACGTTAAGCATTTATCTGCTAAGTACTTAATGTGTGCTTGGCTTTATTATCTTATATTGAAACTTGAATTTGTTGTCATACTTTATAGTATTTAACTTTTTTCTGTGGATGTTTCGATTAATTTTCGGATGCATGCTGTAAATGGACCTTGTGGTGAAGTTTTGAAGACGTTTATTATTCATAAAAATAAATAGTTTGCTTTAATTCCCTCTGTAATATGCATTGTTTGTGTGTTAATATTATCTTGTAGTTTAGTTATTTTAATCCCATTTGTCATCATTGAGGTGAGTGAGTGTGTGTGAGTGAGTGAGTGAGTGAGTGAGTGTGTGTGTGTGTGTGTGTGTCTAGTATTCCCTACGTTATGGGACCAAATGTCTCCACAAGTATAGTAAACCAGTCACTTTTGACCTTGTGAGGACTTTTTTTTTTTGGTCCCTATGAGGAGACAAGCTTATAAATCATACAGAATTCAGTTTTTTGAAAATGTGAAAATGCCTGTAGTTTTGTGTGAGGGGTAGGGTTAGTGTAAAGGGATAGAAAATACAGTTTTTACAGTAGAAAAACCATCACGCCTATGGAATGAACCCATAAAACAAAGAAACACAACGTGGGTGTGTACCTCCTTAATCATATTTTGGGGACAAAATTGTACCCAAAAGTGAGCTAAACCTGACAAAATCTCCAAAAACCTCCCTTTGGGGATGTCCTCAATTGTAAAACTGGTATAAATATAAAGTAAACAGTTTGTTTGTTTTTTTAATTGTAAAAATGCAGAAAGTTTTCTGTAGGGTGTGGGTTAGGATTGGCTTATAAAATGTATAACTGTATATAAAAACAATAGAAGTCTATGTAATGTCCCCATTTAGATAGTTAAGTAAACGTGTGTGTGTGTGTGTGTGTGTATTATTTTCTTCAAGTCACACAGACAAAACTGTCCTTCTAAACACCGGTCCAGAGTTCAGCCACAACGTCTCCAGTGCTGTTTATGATCGTTCATTGGAACTGTGCATTCAAAACGTCGGCTACCTTTGGCAACTTTTGAATGCTGAACCTGAAATTTGCTCATGTAATCTAACAGATTTGCACCAAAGAAGACATATTCAACATACATGTTGATTTGAAACACAATATTAGTGATTTAGTGAATGATAAGATGAAAACTTCTCAATTCTCAGTAAACTTTAGCTGGAGTTTCCATTGGAACCTTTTATTATGAATGAATTATGGATCAGAAAGAAATGTAGTTTGCCGTGCATGAAAACCGTAGGCGTATTAATGAGTTTCTGATGATCTAGAGATGCTTGTCATTAATGGTGTGATTCTGCAGCTCTTCTCTGAAAGCTCTGACACGTGTGACACCGTGAGCTCTGTATTGTTGAAGCTCTTCAGCAGTGAACTGGCTCCTGGCTCCAGCATAAAAACTCAACTCAGCAGCTGGTCAGCAAATCACAGCCTGGCGCTTTTACCGTGGATTTGCTTGATAAGCAGTGCATGCTGGGAAGGGCAGCGCAGGCCAAGGGCACTTCAATCCATTCAGCCAACAAACACCAGCATTTCTCACTTCTCATAAGTCTTATTGCTGTTTTTTCAGACTCCCTGACATGTTATTTCTTACAATTAGGGGCCAAGCCCTGAAGGTGATATAGCTCCTACTGCATAGTTAGTTAGTTAGTTAGTTAGTTACTAGCAATGCTAGTTTTCTTTATTATTATTCTCCCTCTTGTCTTCCCGAATGGGAGTCTATGGCAGCCCAATGAACGGACCATAGGAAAATGATGAAAATTGGCACACTTATTGGGGTAGTTCTCAACAGAACCCTGGCCAAATTTGGGGTCTCTAGGACCAACTCTATAGCGCCACCGCCAGTTCAAAAATTCACTTTTCCAACAGTTATAACTTTTGATTTACTAGTTTATCTGATTACTCTCATCACGATCAGTTCATCAATAGAAATGAAACTCAGTATGCTTCATCAGCACCATGATCTGAAGGCAAATTTGAAAGTTGGGAACAGCGCCACCTACAGGTCATGAGATACCAAAAATTGACATTTGCTCATAACTTTTGAACAGTTTTTCGGAAAATCATGATCTTGGTGTCTATGGATTCCTTGGGATGAACCGCCTGTCCAACATTTGTCATATACTGGAATATCTTTTAAACCATTTGACATATTGGCACAAAAATTGGTAGGGATCATTGACAGCAGGTCCCGGAGGTACCTGAGAAGTTTGAACACAGCGCCACCTAGTGTTCCAACGATTTAAGGGTTTTTGCATAAAAGCTTACAGTGTTGAGGAGTAACCTTAACATACATGTACAATAAATCAAAGAGCCTGATAATTAAGCTGTAAACGGCAGTGATGTGTCGCTGTTTGTACAGGAGGAGGCTGCAGAGGAGCCCAAAACACCAAAGATCCGAGACACACCAGAGGATATCAAACTAGAGGCTATTGCCAACACGATCGCATTCCACCCCAGTCAAGACATCCTGGCAGCTGGAGACATTGATGGAGACATCTACCTGTGAGTGTGAGATCCGCAGGATTGTGTTTATGTTTGGAGTCCAGAGATGCTACAGTGATACTTTCATTTAAATATATTAATCTGATCTAATCAAAACCTATTAGACAGAAACTTTAAGCCGTTTTACAACATAATTAAGATTTTTCATATTTTTAAAGATGTTTTGCAAGTCTCTTCTGCTCACCAAGGGTGCATTCATTTGATTGGAAAAAAACATAGTAATAACTGTAATATTGTGAAATATTATTACAATTTAATAGCTGTTTTCTCTGTGAATATCTGTTAAACTGTAATGTATTCCTGTGATGCGCAGCTGTATTTTCAGCATCATTACTCCAGTCTTCAGTGTCACATGATCTTCAGAAATCATTCTAATATGCTGATTTAAGAAACATTTCTGATTATTATCAATGTTGAAAACAGTTGTGCTGCACAATATTTCTGTGGAAACTGTGATACATTTTATGTTTCAGGATTCATAGATTAATAGAAAGTTCAAAAGAACAGCATTTATTTGAAATAGAACTCTCTTGTGACACTTTTGATAAATTTAATGCATCCTTGATGAATAAAAGTATTATTGTTATTTTGTAAAAATCACACTTAGCCCAAACTTTTGAATGATAATCACTGATAATAATCAGAATCAGCCAATCAGCATATTAGAATGATTTCTGAAGATCATGTGACACTGAAGACGAGTAATGATGCTGAAAATACAGCTGCGCATCACAGAAATAAATTACAGTGTAATAGATATTCACATAGAAAACAGCTGTTTTAATTTATAATAATATTTTACAATTTTACTGTATTTTTGAATAAATAAATGCAGCCTTGGTGAGCAGAAGAGACTAAAAAAATCAGAACTATTTGAAACTTTTGACCAGTAGTGTGTGAAACTCAGCTCAGTGAGTGCTATCGACATAAACATTTTAAAAACTATAGAAGGATTTATCAGTTCTTATCCTGTAACAGGAGAAGGATTCTGCTCCGAGTGTTAATGCGGTCGATCTAGGTTCAGCAGAAACTCACGGACTCTGTGATTTGCAGATTCTCGTACTCCTGCGCTGAAGGAGCAAACAAAGAGCTGTGGTCATCAGGACATCATCTGAAGTCCTGCAGGAAAGTGCTGTTCTCCGGCGATGGACAGAGTCAGTGTTTGCATCTCCTTTCATTGCTTCAGTGTCGATCAGTTCTTCACTTGTTTCTCCAGTGACTCTCTCCTCTGTGTTCCTCAGAGCTCTTCAGCGTGTCTAAAGACAAGGCCGTTCACATCATGGACGTGGAGGCTGGGAAACTGCTGACACGCATCCCCAAAGCTCACAAGTACCTAATGTTCCCGTTCATGTCTTAAACAGCCGTTCTTGAAGATTTATAAGAGGAAAGCTGATGGAATGTTCTTTGAACAGTGAAGTCATTGGTGTTTTTGATATTTTCTCGAGGGCCCCCATCAACGCCCTGCTGCTGGTGGATGAGAATATCTTTGCGACGGGCGATGACGAGGGAATGCTGAAGGTCTGGGACGTGAGGAGAGGAACCTCGTTCATGGATCTGAAGCAGCATGAGGATTTTATCAGTGATATCACCATCGATCAGGACAAACGGACCCTGCTCACTTCCAGGTGCTGTCTCCAGCCTCACCGCTTACGCTCGTTTTCTTTAAAGGAGACATATTATGCCCCTTTTTACAATATGTAATATAAGTCTTTGGTGTCCCCAGAATGTGTCTGTGAAGTTTCAGCTCAAAATACTCCATTTATTATATCATTTTGAAAATGCCTATTTTGAGTGGAAGCAGAAACATGCTGTTTTTCGTGCCTGTCTCTTTAAATGCAAATGAGCTGCTGCTCCCCGCCCCCTTTTCCAGAATAGAGCTGCGACCTGCTAAAAACATCTGTTTTGGTTCTGATTATCATGTTTATCGCACTGAAATCATGCGTTTTAAACCATATTAGTTTAAACTTCTGATATACGGTTTTCTGAGTGCACACATCCGAAGCACATGGACAGAAAGCGGCTGTCACAGCATGTGAGTACTAAACTAAGTTCTCATTCACACACAAGTTTACGTTAAAAACACACATGAGTTACAAAAACAGTGGGTTATGTCTGTGAAGGTAAACAGCTGGGAAATAAATCGCTTGTTTATTTTAGATCTGTGTGGCAGCAGCAATATACAGTAAATAAATCAATAAATCCACTGCTCTGTTGTCTCCTCTGAGGCTGGGACTCTAAACAGTGTTCTGTGCTCGTCTCTGCAGCCAAACACAGAACAGTTAGCATGCTTCGCTCAAACTTTCATCATGGCATTAGAGCTAGCGCACCGCTGTCGCTTGCAAATCAAAATGATGGTGTCATGGGCGTAAACTTGCAGATTAAGGGGCGGTAATATTATAATGAGATCCCTTTGCAACGTCACTAGGAGAGCTAAATCAGACGCGCTCGTTTTCTCAGACGCTTGCAGAAAAAGGCTTCCCAAAACAAAGTTACAGGGTTAATCTTTTTCACGTTTCCTTGGTAGGTAGATGCACCGGGGACCTGATTATAGCACTTAAAACCTGGAAAAGTCAGTTTTTCATGATATGTCACCTTTAAAAGAAATGCCGCTTGCTTTGACGTCTTATGTGATGCAATGCCTTTCCTACGTTAGGTGTGATAAGTGTGCAAACTGATGTTTGATTCGATGATATCATGGTGTGTTTGTGACTTTGTTTCATTTGTAGTGGCGACGGCACTATGGGTGTGTTCAATATAAGAAGACGAAGATTTGAACTGCTTTCCGAGTTCCAGAATGGAGATCTTAACTCTGTTTGCATTATGAAAGTGAGTCTAAACAGCGTCACTGTAGTGCTAATGAACCATTTCAGACACATCTGACTTCACATTCACTAGTCGCTTCGGGTAAATAACTAGAAGAATAACAGAGAGCAGTAAACGGTAAAGCATTGGTGCTACAAACCATATGATTATAGAAATAAAATAGCAGTTTGCAGCATAATGGACTGTTTTTAGAGTGACTAAGGCTGACAATGCAGTTTTAATCATGAAAATCCTCTTTGTTTGCCACACAGAGAGGCCGTAAGGTCGTTTGTGGATCCGGCGAGGGCAAAATCTACATTTTTAACTGGAATGGTTTTGGTGCCACCAGCGACCGGTTTGCGGTTCAGGCCGAGTCTGTGGATTGTATTGTGCCGATCACTGACAGCATTCTGTGTGCCGCCTCCACCGACGGAGTCATCAGGTGAACAGCTTCTCATTTTTATAGACCTTAAACTGTAATGCATCACAGAAATATATTACATTTTCATGTATACTAAAATAGAAAAACATTATTTTACATCATAATAATATTTCACAATATTTGAAATGTTTTTCCTGTATTTTTGATCAAATAAATGCAGCCTTGATGAGCAGAAGAGACTCCTGTAAAAAACATTAAAACTGTCCTGATCCCAAACTTTTGACTGGTAGTGTGTATATATACATATATCAGTTACAAGTGTAATTACTCTTTCAGCTCATAAATTATTATTTCAAAGGGTATTTTTGGTGGTGATCAGGAGAGTTATGTTCCTGACAAATGATTTTTTTTGTGTGAAGTATTTCCTGATTTTCCAAAGTCTCCAGAATACATTCTCATTGATCAGTGCTTTAACATTTAACAACCACCCGCTTCATCCATGGATCATGGGGGCAAGTTTTGTGCAATTCACATTTACCGTACACAAGTTCATTCATTTATTTTTTTTTTTTTGTGAGAATACTCGGGAATTTATTTGACTGCACAGTTTGTTTTTTAAGCCATTTATTAAAGCCTTTATACCAAGATTGATATCTATAACGATAACTATGAACATAAATAGAGAAATCCAGACCACAGCTATCATGACAATCACACATCACTTTCAGATGATGAACAATAAATACTCTGACAGCCAATCACAATCCACCGACTTTAGAGTTTGAGCATTTAAAGCGACAGATGACAAAAATATATTTATCGTAATAATTATCTTTATAGTTATGGTTCTTAGTGTGAACAGGCCTCAACTCGTTAACAGCACTGTTCAGATTTTTCCGAATGATTTTTTTCTCCAGCTAATGAATGATTATAAAGCGGAGAGTTCCGGTGCTTGATTCTGATTGGCTGAGCTGCGTTCGAAGCTGTTGTAAATGACTCTACAAAGTAACATACACCTTTGTTTACGTTTGTCTGTTGCTCGGCAACCACTTTGTAGCAACCACAACTGTTTCTGAGGAACTACATTGTTTGGTGGAAGAATACTGTTTTTATTAATATCATTACACTTTATTTGCTCTGTTTTATTCTGTGAAACCTTACTACGTATATGGAATAACCGTTTTATAAAAGCAATAAGCTCCGTGAAGCCGTGGGGCTTATTGCTTTATTAAAACATGTCAATCAAAATCTTTCCTATAGACACTGATATAATTAGCGTTATAGTTTTGGTTGTACTCCGGATGCACATCTCTTCTCTTCTGAAACTAATGCTTCAGTCCTCCGTCCGCAGAGCTGTGAGTGTCCTGCCGAACCGTGTTCTGGGCAGCGTCGGGCAGCACGCCGGCGAGTCCATCGAGGAGATCGCGAGATCCAGAGACACACGCTTCCTCGCCAGCTGCGCTCACGACCAGCTCGTCAAGTTCTGGGACATCTCCAGCTTACCAGACACCAGAGTCAGCGATTACCGGCGGAGAAAGAAGAGAGACCGACGCCTCAAAGCTCTGAGTAATAAAGCTTTCGACACGGGACAGGATTTCTTCGCCGGCCTTTTAGACTCAACTGAAGAAAACCGGAATAAAGAAGATGAAGAGGAGGAGGAGGAGGAGGACAGTGACAGTGGGAGCGACTGAAAATACTTAACTCCTGCAATACTGTGTTGCCGTTTCTATATTTCATGTATATTTTCTGAATCAGTTTCTCACACACGCACACATTAAATTATATGCTATTACACATCTGTATTTGTATAATATATCATTTAAAATACATGCTGTGCTGTCATAAACTTTGCTACATTCATTGCCCAAGAAACATCAAATAACACGTTCACATAAAATAGACAGTATTTGAAACAAAAGTTTCTATGTGACCCTCAATGTATTGTTGGCTATTGCTACAAATATACCCCAGCGACTTAAGCTCCAGGGTCACATATTGTGTTTCGTTTACTTCTACTAACTCATCTAGGGAGCACAGCACTAGTCGCTACAATACATTTTTTCTTTTGCAATTGAGGTGCAAAATTTTATTGTAATTGAATTTCAACACAAACATGTAGCTTATTTATTTCAACAAATTTGGAAAGCAAACCACGTATTCAGAATATTTCAAGGTATAGTTTTGCACAATAAATGTAGAAATGCATGAACATACAGTACAGTGGAGCCCAAGGATGTGATGTTTCCGTCTATAATTACAGAACTATTTTCAGATTTCCCAAACAGCCAGATCTGTGGCTCTTGTACTGACTGTCAGATTTCCCGGATTCGGAACATTCTCCATAACAGATCTGAATAACAGAGATGCTGAAATTCATGGTTGTAATAATTACAGAAGCAGCACCAAAGAATAAATCTGAGATGTTTCGCTAATCTTTACTCTGGCTGATTTAGTTAAAATTATCTTTATATGAAGCCATTCTTAGGTTGACGTCGTGTCTTGATTTGGTCGAGATCTCCAGGGTTTGGTTGGATTTTCTTTAAAAGATCTCTGATGAAACCTTTAATCCCAAACTCAAATCCGTCCACTAACACAGATGCGGCTGAGAACGAAGCTGATTGGCTACTCGAGACTGACCGGAGTAGATGGCATGTTTTTGCCTCGTTCGGGGAAAGAAACAAAAGCTGCCCCCTCGGGATCAATCATCAGAACGTCTCCATTCTTGCTCTCATCTTTCACAAGAACAAGAAAGGCCTTGGCAACAACATCAGCCCTGCGATGAAAACACAATTATATGACCGTACAAAGCTTTCTCAGTTTTGATGTTAAACTCAAACCCTTGCTTTATCTGTCCCGTGTCTCTCCTCTGATATGAAGGATTGTTAACTCACTCCACACAGCCGCGGTTCTCTATCATCGTGTCTGCGATACCCTTCAGTGGAAAGAAACTTCCAATATGCTCTTCTGAACTCATGACGGACAGAAGACTGGTCTTCACAAACCACGGACAGAGAACGTTGATCCTCACCCCGTAGTTAGCCAGCTTGGAAACGGCCTGTTGATGAGCAATTAAAGAAAAAAAAATCAAAGACTTTCTCTTTCACAAAAGAAGCGTAATGCTTTATATGTAAAATACGTACTGCCATGGCACGACTGAATCCCACCACGCCGTGTTTAGTTGCTGTGTAGATGGGCGCCATCGGCAAAGGCCCCAAACCTGCGGCCGACAGGCGAAGATTCAGTCAACACGTGGCTTTATTACAGCAACAGATCTGCCATCATTTACACATTTACCTCAAAAATGTTCTCAGTGGGTTTTTTGGGGGTCGAAAACAACTTTGGACCCCATTGACTTACATTGTAAGAACAAAAGCAGCGGAAACATTCTTTAAAGTATCTTCATTTGTGCCCAACAGATGAAAGTCAGTCGTACTGGTTGAAATAACATGAGGTAAATTATGAGAAGTTTCATTTTTAGATGAACTATCCATTCATCATAGGTTTACGAACTTGCTTTGGCTCAATTCTCAAATGAGAGGTTTTTTTCCTGATGTTTCTTGATTTGAATTTCTTACAGATTTAGATGTGTTTTGGCACGTGTGTGCAAAAGAGAAGTACGATTGTCTACAATTTGCACATTAACTAAATGCACATGGCTTGTCAAAACTGATGAGTTGATTCTCAGTGGAATTGTCAAACTCTTCACAACTTCTAAACTTTCTTGCATCGTGTGAGCCATCACATGCAAACTGATCCATTCAGTCATCAGACGTGTGTATACTCCATAGATATCTGACACGTGACGGTTGTGATGTCTGCTAAGTTGGGAAATGGCTTGCCATTAGGGTTGCAAAGGGGCAGAACATTTCCAGGATTTTTTGGGGAAAATTTTGTAAATTTTCGGAAACTTTTCCACCCCTTTACAAACCTACTTGCCATTGTAATGAAATAGGAATCACAATCTTGCCAATCAGTCAAGTTTGGAAGCATATATATAGAGTTTGCCCGGCACAATAACTACTATTTCAGAACGAGGAGGAACGTCATAACCCTAAACAGCAGCAGCTACAGCAGTACTGTATGAATACATTTATATTTGTACAGTACATTTATCTGTAGAAATGTGTTCCATGTAAACTGTGAAAATTGATACTTGCTTGTCGTGAAAGAGGAAGTCATGTAAGAATGTGCGGTGTGGAGCTGTTAGGGGAAGACAGTAGACAGAGTGTGTGAAAATGATTAAGCAATGGTGTTACAGTTTCAGACATTGTGCAGATTAATACAAGTTAGATAGGATGCAATTTTAGGATGCAGTCAAATGTTGATGAAAGAGATGAGTTTTCAGCTGTCGCTTGAAAATTGTCAGAGGTTCAGCATTCCAGATGAGGGTGGGCAGATCATTCCACCAGCCAGGAACGGTGAATGGAAATGTTCTGGAAAGTGATTTTGTGCCTCTCTGTGATGGAACCACGAGGCGTCGCTCACTTGTACATCTCAGGCTTCTGGAGGGGATGTAGATTCGAGTGAGTGGAAGTAGGAGGGTGAGGAGTCCGTGGCTGTTCTATATGCAAGCATCAATGACTTGAACTTGATGTGAGCTGCAACCAGTAGCCAGTGCAGGGAGATAAAGAGAGGTGCCCTTTTGGGCTCATTGAAGACCAGTCATGCTGCTGCATTCTGAATAATTTGAAGAGGTTTGATTGCACATGATGGAAGTCCAGCCAGAAGAGCATTGCCTAAAAAGGGCCTGGATAAGACGTTGTGTTGCATGCTCCATTAGAAAGTGCCTGATCTTTCTGATGTTGTGCAATGCAACCTGCGGTTTTTGCAATGTGGTCTTTGAAAGTCAGCTGGTCATCAAAGATTACACCAAGATTTCTGACCGAAATTGATGGGGTAGTGGTTGATTAACCTAGCTGGATGGTGAAATCATGCTGTAGAGTCGGAGTGGCACAGACAAAACAGACTGCTTTCTATACTATACAAGAGTGTCAGTCAACAAAAATAGTAAAAAAAATTTTTTTGCATATAACAAGATTGAATTTGCATATACCATGAAATGAAACCTGCATATAACAAATATGTCCATGCTGAAAAAAACAACAACATTTTTTTTTGAGCAGTGTGGCTCACACCCTGACAAAAATCAAGTCACTGACACAATAACTAGGTTCTGAAGCATGAATTAAATGTTTTGGGTGTGTTACTACATTTTGCAGACATGCAATACAGTTCTGATGTTCCAGCAAACAGTTGTGACAACTGCACTTACAGTTTAGAGAATGTTAAGACTGTTTCGAAAAATGTGCTAAAGCGATTGAGAAAAACTGTAATTGTTTAATCTGTGTTTATTTTAAACAGACGGTATCAGACCTGCCATAGATGAAATGTTGACAATGACTCCTCCATTGCCACTGTTTTCCTTCTTCATATGTTCTAGAGCGAGATACGTTCCTCTGACCACTCCACCCTGAGACGAGCACAAAACACCTTCAGCTGAAAACACAGACGGACAGATACACAGACAGATAGACAGACAGACAGACGGACGGATAGACAGATACACAGACAGACGGACAGATACACAGACAGACAGACAGATACACAGACAGACGGACAGACAGATAGACAGACAGACAGACGTACGGACAGACAGATACACAGACAGACAGATACACAGACAGACGGACGGACAGACAGATAGACAGACAGACAGACGGACGGATAGACAGATACACAGACAGACGGACAGATACACAGACAGACAGACAGATACACAGACAGACGGACAGACAGATAGACAGACAGACAGACAGACAGACGGACGGACAGACAGATACACAGACAGACAGACAGATACACAGACAGACGGACAGATACACAGACAGATACACAGACAGACAGACGTACGGACAGACAGATACACAGACAGACAGACAGATGGACAGACAGATACACAGACAGACAGACAGACAGACAGATAGACAGACAGACAGATAGACAGACAGACAGATAGACAGACAGACAGATAGACAGACAGACAGATAGACAGACAGACAGATAGACAGACAGACAGATAGACAGACAGACAGATAGACAGACAGACAGATAGACAGACAGACAGATAGACAGACAGACAGATAGACAGACAGACAGATAGACAGACAGACAGATAGACAGACAGACAGATAGACAGACAGACAGATAGACAGACAGACAGATAGACAGACAGACAGATAGACAGACAGACAGATAGACAGACAGACAGATAGACAGACAGACAGATAGACAGACAGACAGATAGACAGACAGACAGATAGACAGACAGACAGATAGACAGACAGACAGATAGACAGACAGACAGATAGACAGACAGACAGATAGACAGACAGACAGATAGACAGACAGACAGATAGACAGACAGACAGATAGACAGACAGACAGATAGACAGACAGACAGATAGACAGACAGACAGATAGACAGACAGACAGATAGACAGACAGACAGATAGACAGACAGACAGATAGACAGACAGACAGATAGACAGACAGACAGATAGACAGACAGACAGATAGACAGACAGACAGATAGACAGACAGACAGATAGACAGACAGACAGATAGACAGACAGACAGATAGACAGACAGACAGATAGACAGACAGACAGATAGACAGACAGACAGATAGACAGACAGACAGATAGACAGACAGACAGATAGACAGACAGACAGATAGACAGACAGACAGATAGACAGACAGACAGATAGACAGACAGACAGATAGACAGACAGACAGATAGACAGACAGACAGATAGACAGACAGACAGATAGACAGACAGACAGATAGACAGACAGACAGATAGACAGACAGACAGATAGACAGACAGACAGATAGACAGACAGACAGATAGACAGACAGACAGATAGACAGACAGACAGATAGACAGACAGACAGATAGACAGACAGACAGATAGACAGACAGACAGATAGACAGACAGACAGATAGACAGACAGACAGATAGACAGACAGACAGATAGACAGACAGACAGATAGACAGACAGACAGATAGACAGACAGACAGATAGACAGACAGACAGATAGACAGACAGACAGATAGACAGACAGACAGATAGACAGACAGACAGATAGACAGACAGACAGATAGACAGACAGACAGATAGACAGACAGACAGATAGACAGACAGACAGATAGACAGACAGACAGATAGACAGACAGACAGATAGACAGACAGACAGATAGACAGACAGACAGATAGACAGACAGACAGATAGACAGACAGACAGATAGACAGACAGACAGATAGACAGACAGACAGATAGACAGACAGACAGATAGACAGACAGACAGATAGACAGACAGACAGATAGACAGACAGACAGATAGACAGACAGACAGATAGACAGACAGACAGATAGACAGACAGACAGATAGACAGACAGACAGATAGACAGACAGACAGATAGACAGACAGACAGATAGACAGACAGACAGATAGACAGACAGACAGATAGACAGACAGACAGATAGACAGACAGACAGATAGACAGACAGACAGATAGACAGACAGACAGATAGACAGACAGACAGATAGACAGACAGACAGATAGACAGACAGACAGATAGACAGACAGACAGATAGACAGACAGACAGATAGACAGACAGACAGATAGACAGACAGACAGATAGACAGACAGACAGATAGACAGACAGACAGATAGACAGACAGACAGATAGACAGACAGACAGATAGACAGACAGACAGATAGACAGACAGACAGATAGACAGACAGACAGATAGACAGACAGACAGATAGACAGACAGACAGATAGACAGACAGACAGATAGACAGACAGACAGATAGACAGACAGACAGATAGACAGACAGACAGATAGACAGACAGACAGATAGACAGACAGACAGATAGACAGACAGACAGATAGACAGACAGACAGATAGACAGACAGACAGATAGACAGACAGACAGATAGACAGACAGACAGATAGACAGACAGACAGATAGACAGACAGACAGATAGACAGACAGACAGATAGACAGACAGACAGATAGACAGACAGACAGATAGACAGACAGACAGATAGACAGACAGACAGATAGACAGACAGACAGATAGACAGACAGACAGATAGACAGACAGACAGATAGACAGACAGACAGATAGACAGACAGACAGATAGACAGACAGACAGATAGACAGACAGACAGATAGACAGACAGACAGATAGACAGACAGACAGATAGACAGACAGACAGATAGACAGACAGACAGATAGACAGACAGACAGATAGACAGACAGACAGATAGACAGACAGACAGATAGACAGACAGACAGATAGACAGACAGACAGATAGACAGACAGACAGATAGACAGACAGACAGATAGACAGACAGACAGATAGACAGACAGACAGATAGACAGACAGACAGATAGACAGACAGACAGATAGACAGACAGACAGATAGACAGACAGACAGATAGACAGACAGACAGATAGACAGACAGACAGATAGACAGACAGACAGATAGACAGACAGACAGATAGACAGACAGACAGATAGACAGACAGACAGATAGACAGACAGACAGATAGACAGACAGACAGATAGACAGACAGACAGATAGACAGACAGACAGATAGACAGACAGACAGATAGACAGACAGACAGATAGACAGACAGACAGATAGACAGACAGACAGATAGACAGACAGACAGATAGACAGACAGACAGATAGACAGACAGACAGATAGACAGACAGACAGATAGACAGACAGACAGATAGACAGACAGACAGATAGACAGACAGACAGATAGACAGACAGACAGATAGACAGACAGACAGATAGACAGACAGACAGATAGACAGACAGACAGATAGACAGACAGACAGATAGACAGACAGACAGATAGACAGACAGACAGATAGACAGACAGACAGATAGACAGACAGACAGATAGACAGACAGACAGATAGACAGACAGACAGATAGACAGACAGACAGATAGACAGACAGACAGATAGACAGACAGACAGATAGACAGACAGACAGATAGACAGACAGACAGATAGACAGACAGACAGATAGACAGACAGACAGATAGACAGACAGACAGATAGACAGACAGACAGATAGACAGACAGACAGATAGACAGACAGACAGATAGACAGACAGACAGATAGACAGACAGACAGATAGACAGACAGACAGATAGACAGACAGACAGATAGACAGACAGACAGATAGACAGACAGACAGATAGACAGACAGACAGATAGACAGACAGACAGATAGACAGACAGACAGATAGACAGACAGACAGATAGACAGACAGACAGATAGACAGACAGACAGATAGACAGACAGACAGATAGACAGACAGACAGATAGACAGACAGACAGATAGACAGACAGACAGATAGACAGACAGACAGATAGACAGACAGACAGATAGACAGACAGACAGATAGACAGACAGACAGATAGACAGACAGACAGATAGACAGACAGACAGATAGACAGACAGACAGATAGACAGACAGACAGACGGACGGACAGACAGATACACAGACAGACAGACAGACAGACGGACAGACAGATAGACAGACATACAGACGGACGGACAGACAGATACACAGACAGACGGACGGACGGACGGACAGACAGAAAGAGAGACAGACAGGCTCACTCATACCAGGTTGATTGCTATAGTCTTTTCCCAGTGCTTTTCATTGATGATCCCTGCATTGTTGCACAAAATGTCTATGCGGCCAAATGTTTCAACAATTTTTTCCAAAACTCCTGTAAGGAAAAACATAAAACATTCAGAGCATATCCAAACTCTCTTTTCCTGCTCTTATAATTATGTCACTTGAGTAATAGTTCAGACTTATTATGCGCCCTCCAGAAGCTTGCGTTCTACAAAATCAAAAAATCAAAAATCCAAAACAAAATCCCTCTCACAGACCTTTATCTGGACTGTTCCCAGCTGGTGGAACGACCTGCCGATCTCAGTTCGAACAGCTGAGTCTTTAGCCATTTTCAAAAAACCTCTAAAGACACATCGTCAGCACCTGTCCAATTAATACTAGCACTATTCTATTCTATTCGCTCTAATTTATTTAAAATAAAAAAACACCTTGCTATGTGTAGTGTGCTAGACTAAACGAGACTTGTCACATCACTTGTATGCTGTTGCTCTCTTGCTGGTCTGATTACTTCTATTGTTCTCCTCATTTGTAAGTCGCTTTGGATAAAAGTGTCTGCTAAATTTTAAACCAAATTCTTAATTGAGGTATTATCATGAGGCATCTTTCTGGGTAGGTGTGTGTACACATGTGTATGCATATGTGTGGGCATACATATATATTGTATTAATTAATTTTTTATTTTTTTTTAATTAATTTTTTTGTAATGTGATATGTGAATGTATAGTGTTATCTGTTATGATGTATTTTCTATGCCAGTGTCAAAGATGAATTTCTGTTCAGGAAATCTGGACAGACAATAAAGTTCAACTAAACTAAACTAAATGATTAAAATGTTAATGTAAATGAGTAATAGCGGCATTGTTACATTGTAAGCCATCAGTCAGAGGCTCATGTAATCATTCGTAGACAATATAACATCTCTGAAGTTTCGAAAGACCTTTAAAGTCTTCCTCTGATGAGACGTCGGCCGTGTAAAACTCAGTCCTGTCTCGTCCATACTCCTGATCAAGTGTGCTCTTCACTTCATCTCCCAGCGATTTATTCACATCGATTAAAGCCACCTGTAATCAAATGCATCAGTGTGAGCTATTACAGTAAAGGACTGTGAAATACAGAACAGTAGCAAAGCAGGTTCTCAATAAGGATGACTTTTAGGCTGTACTATAAATATATTGACACGTAGCCTTTTTTAATATAAGCAGATGTTTTGTATTTATTCTCTCAATGTGTATTTTACATTTTAATAGTTAGAATATGGATTTGAAAACAGGACATCTGAAGAAATAACATCATTGCTCATTTACAAATAAGCAACTTGTAGTGTTAAGACTTCGTAATGACTGAATGAACTAAAACTAAAACACAATCAAATCTGACGCACAGGAACAGTTCCGGACGTTCTTCAAAACGCTTTATACCACGGGGCCGTTGAATGCTTGAATCTGATTGTCTGACGAACGTTCTGAGGCGTGCAATTATTTTCAGGGAAACGTACGGCGAACGTAGTTCCAGGCAGCGCTCTTGACCGCATTACAGCTCCATATCACTTCGCATAGTTAACTGTAATAACGGAAATTAGCATTCAGTACCTATACAGCACACAGGAATTACTGCAATCACTCGTGCTCGCATATGGAAGTGCCAAAAAAGTGTTGTCAGCGCTGCCCTGACGATTTTATCGGTTAGCCTATATAGTGTAGCAATTTAAAGGCTACACATGACATTTCTCACTAGCGAGGGAATAACAGCGCTGTTTAGAGACGCTGCTGCAGAACACTGTTGAGGGACGCACAGAGCTAGCCTAATTCACACAAACTCTCTCTCTCTCTCTTTCTAATAACTTCATTAATAACTGCATTAGAATGCTATCAACGGCTCAAGCCTCCATTACCAGCTTTAAAATGAGGTTTTGGAACTAGCGAAAGAGGCGTTGGATGAGATGCGGAAGAAATAATCCCGCTCACAATAGCGAAAAAAACCGGACGAATCCCTTTAAATATATCATCTGATCGATGTCTTGAGGTGTGGTAACCGTCGTATACGCGGAATAATTGACTCCGGGCCGTTGAATTATTAGAAAAATAATGCACATCCGCTTCGCATCACCACCTCGGGTGTGCATTATTTTTTTAATAATTCAACGGCCCGGAGTCAATTATTCCTTACTTCAACTTTGACTCCATTTGACGCCCATGTTTCTTATCGCTGCCAGTTTTTACCAGACTTAGATCTGAATTTTGATGAACAGACATGATTTAGCCTGTTTACTTTTTCCAGATTTTTTTTTTTCACCGCAACAAGATTTTTTTTAAACGGTTAAACGTTACAAGGATGCCTCATTACGTGTTTAATAATAAACTTTTTAAAACTATTCCTAGGACCGTGTGAAACTATCCAGTCTCGCATTTATAGATCCTTCTATCTATAGATGTTTTTTTTCGACATACATAGCAAACTCGTGTATTTGTCATTCTGTAGCGTGCGTTGGTTTCACGCGGAGCTCAAGGCGGCGCGTTGAAGCCCTGACGCGAGCCTTTAGAGCACTGTGTTTTATAAGATCGTACTTTTACTAAATGCAAGCACGAAAGGGTTTATAGAATTATTTGTTTAAATGCATTTCCTTTACCTTTGCCCCGTTTCTCAGGAGTATTTCGACAAAGCTCCTGCCCAAACCCTGAGCTGCTCCGGTCACTGCACACACTTTATCCTTCAGATCCATCACAACCTGTCAGAGAAACAGCGCGACGCCACAAGATTAGAACGCGTCCCAAACGCGTCCGGCTGTTGTTGAGTGGATGTGTTATCCACATGGATGCACTGATGCTGCTACAAACCTTTCCCACCAAAATCACACAAGCAGAAGAACACATCAGCATTGCTTACCTGTGCGCGAGAGCTGCGTCTAGTGATTAACTAGTGACTAACTAGCGATGTAAAGATCAGAGGCATGGGTGAGAAGGAGGAGTTACACAAGTTCTGTGCACGGGTGTGTTCAGCTTTGAGGCTAAATGCGTTATTATGAGGTGTCTCCATGAAGCATTAGAGTTCTTATAAAACACTAGATAATCAAACCTGCGTATTATAAACATATAAACAAATTGTAATTTATTTTTGTGTATTGCCCACCCAGATCCCAGATTTTCGTTTCACACATACATCACCATAAACTCAAGCATGCATATATATATATATACAGTACTGTGCAGAAGTCTTAGGCTACTAGTATTTTCACCAACAACAAAAAAAAGGTTTTAAGTCAGTTATTTCTCTCGTTTGCTGTAGTGTGTCAGTAGGAAATATCAGTTTACATTCCCAAACATTCCTTTTGCCATTAACTGTAATAATGCAGTGATATTTTTGCATGTTTAGGAGTCTGACAGCAGCCAGTGCTGCACACAGAGATCTGATCTGATCATCATCCGGTCCTTCTGAGATTACATGAAGAAACTGAGACAGACTCGATCCAGAAGAACTGTGGCAGCGTCTCCTAAACGCTTGAAGAAACCTCCTGCAAAGCTCCCTGAAAAACTATGCACACGTGACACACGCAAAGTGTGCTCACACACCAATGTTGATTTGATTTAGTTATTAGCAGTTCACTGATAAATAAAATCAATTTATAACATTAATTTTGAAAGCATCCTCAGTTTGCAGCATTAATACACAAGTACTATAGTTTTTATTCACACTGCCTGTGTTTACAAACCAGTGGTTCCCATGATGCAACAGTGAAATGTACTGTGTGTCTCAGAAACTGACCAGCCTCAGCTGTGAGTGATTATGCTCCACTTCCTGGAAAGAGGGCAAAACAAGGAGCTTGGTGATGATCATTGACAACAGACGTAATGTTTAAGGCAGAGTAAAGGAGAGTCCAGTAATTTTGGTAACTTAAAGAGCTCTAAGAGGCTGCTTTAATAAAGGTGTCTGAGAAATATGCAAATCTGAATGTAAATGCATCAAATGGAATTTGAATTGAAATGACCACAGATGGAGTTGATTTGGAATGACAGGAAGAGTGCAGTTCAAATAAATTCACACAACACAAGTTTTGCAACAGTGCACAAATAATTGCATCAATAGTTTATTATTACACCCTTTAATTATCTGCTGTGTACTAGAAAGTATATAAGCAGACACACACACACACACACACACACACTCACTCTCTCACAC